GCGGGGGCCACGGAGACCCCAGGGGCGCTGCGTGGACACAGAGGGCGCCAGGCACTGCCTCTGATCCACGCCTTCCCACCTGGTAATTCCCAGCAGGCCCAGGTTTTTTCCCGTGCAACTCTCTACCTTTGAGTCCCAGCAGGGAAGCGGGACTGGATGGGGGGGGGCGGAGGGAGGTCGGCGCATGCGCAGCCTACCTCGGAGATCTGGACGCAGAGGCTGTCCCCGACCTGCCTTCCCGGCTCGGACAAGGGATGTGGCGCGGATGTGCAGGCCCGGATGCTAATGCACCTGCAGCCCACCTGTACACACTTGCAGCCACCAGCGCCAGGAGAGGGTACGCGCATGCTCTCCCCAGAAGCTGGGAACTGCCATTGACTGCAGTTTGGGGAGGAGGTACCTGAATGACAGGTCTTTGCCTCAATTTGAAAAGAAAATCTGTGCTGTCCACCCCCAGCAGCAAACATCTGGGGAGGTTTGCCTGTGACTGCAGGCGAGCGGAGAGGAGCACTAGACCACAGCTGCCCTGAGTAGGGACGAGGTCTTCTTTGGAGAGGGCAGGAAGGATTCACCGGGTCCTCCGAAAGGATGTTTACAGGAGACAGAGGTAACAACCAAGGCGGAAGGGGCAACTCTGAGCGGCTGGAGGAGCTGTAGGAAGAAAGACAGGCTTCACTGGCAAAGGCAGACAGAGCCAAAGAGCTCCGGGCAACCGCAGACTTGGCTGTTACTTTTAAGATTGCCTTGTTTGTGAGTCTCTTAGGTGGGCATGGGAGAGGGAGCGTCGGGCGTCTTCTGTCGCTGTCAACAACCCCTGTAGAGGAGGGTCTAGGGTCTCTCCCTGAATCTGGCGTTTCCTCTTTCTCACCGGCCTGGCAGCCAGCAGGCCTCGGGGTCCTCCCTCGGATGGGGATTCTTTTGTCCTTCATCCCTCTGAGCTGGGATTACGGAGGTATAAGGACACTAGAACTTTTTCAAAAGTAGTGGGACCTAAACCCCTCATAACTTTCCCAATAAAGCACTTTTTAAAAAAAGTTCCAATTGTAATTAATAAAAATTAAAATAAAAAAAAAAGTTCCAATCTAGGTTTTTATTCCCAACACTCTGGAGGCAGAGGCAGATGGATCTTTGCGAGTTTGAGACCAGCCTGATCTACACAGTTCCAGGCTAGTCAGGGACACAGAAGAAACTGTCTCAAAAAAAAAAAAAATAAAAATCCAATTTTAGGAGTAACCCCCCAAAAGATGACAATTAATTTGGTCATGGATGGTCACATCAGCTCCCTTGACTGGGTAGGTCAGGAACCAAGGGAAGAAACACCATCTGTCAACACACCTTAGTCACAGAAATCTTGTCATGAGTCCCCGGAAAGCGAAGGAAGCTAAAGTGAAAAACCACTTTGGACATTCTCGAGAGTGGCATAAAATCCCATGCGTCAGTCAGCAGCACGTGGAATTCTAGGTAACAGACTTAAGACCACTGCACTTCAAGTTTGTTGTCTACAGGCCAAAAAACTTACTGCCAAGTTGTTCTTTGTTTTTTGATCTCTAACTTAGCCAGAGACTGTCTAGCATGATCACTTGATAAATATTTCTAAGTCTGGACTGCCCACAGCATACTCCATCTTCAGGTGGGGAAGGAGAGATGGGCTCCACTCCAGGAAGCTCAGCAGTGCAGGCAGACCCCAGAAGCTCCACAGCCTTACGGAGGCAAGAGACACACACACCTCCACTTGTCAGGAGACAGTTTCCTGGTCCACCACCTCAGAAACAAGTTCCATCTTGCTGGCAGGGTCAAAAATGAGTTCATAGTCCCAGGCCCTGGAACCCAACTCCTATCTGCTTCTTCAGGTGCTTCACGTTTGTCTGTTAACCAGTAAAGGATGGAAAGAGGGAAGCTGCCATCATCCATTATCTAAACTAAGGCACACAGGTTGTAAATGTGTTGCCTGTCTTGACTTAAAGCTTGCCCACTCCTTTGTTCCCCTATCATTCTAAATTCCAGGCCAAACTCCAAGAGAGGACGTGACTGCAAAAAGCTGAGTGGAGGGTCCTGAAACCAGGTGACCCGGAAAGGCCCAGTCACCCATGTTCGCTTCCTTGCTCAACCCCTTGTGTCGAAATATGATTGGTCGATACAGCAGCCCACCATGACCCTGCTCCCATCCTTTAAAGTGTCGCATAACCACCCTTTGAGGACTTGGTTCAAATCCTGAACTGGCTGCCTCCCTGTGTCCAAACTAAATAAAGCTTGCATTTTAAGCTTCTGTCTCTGAAATGAGCTTTCTTGGCTCCCAAACAGGCACCCAACACACTCAGCAAAAGATGCTGGATTTTCTCAAATCCCGGCAAGTCAGATTCATGTTTTCAACTCCAACCATCGCTGAAGGAAAACTGAGCTTTCAGGTGCTTCCTTTCTAATCAGAAGCTTGTGTTTTACAGGGAAAGCATTGTCCCACGGGCAAGAAAAAGCCTATGGAGGGCATCTGCCCTGCAGCTTGCCAGCCCTCAACAACTCGCCTCCAGTAAGTTAACAGAGGTGTTCACGAATACTGCAGCTGGGCGCCAACAAAAAAGGCCAACGAGTACCTAGTCTGGGGTCTGGCAGGAAATGTGCTAAGACAGTAGCTGTTCCGCTCAAGGACTGCTGGGTCATTCTAGTTCCTTCTAGGACCATATAAAGCAAGGTTTTCATTGAGACAGAGTCTTGTTATATAGCTCATGCTGGCCTCAAGTTTGCAATCTTCCATATGGACAAGTATCTATAGCTATTTCCTAAGTATAAACTCATGGAGAACACCAGTAACAGCTAAGTGAAGCACATTTTCACCAGTGGTTCTGAACAGAGACACAGCAGTGAGGGAGAACACTGTCCCTGTTAATCAGGTTCCCAGACTGACACTGTACAGAATAACAGGACAGGGAGGCAGGCTCACGGACCTAGCCTTACATAGGGCAATGCTCACTGGAGCAAAGCCAGCCCAAGACTCTGTGAATACAGAGATTCACAGCAGACATCAGTGGAGGCAGGTGTCATCTCAGCAGAAAGGGGTTAAAAGGGACCCTGCCACTCAGCCCATAGCTCACACGAGGAACCTCCGTCACCTGAACCTGCTGCCCACCCTGAGCTCTGCTCCCATCACAGCAGACTGTACCTTCATTTGTCCAAATGTTTTCCCAGTAAAAAGCCACTCCCAGCCACCTGCCTCTGGAACATCCACCAACACCCATCTGGCGAAGCTCTCAAGGACTTTTATTTTTATTTACTTGAGAGAAACTCTTTCTCTGCAGCCCAGGCTGACAGTCCTCCAACCTCAGGCTCTGCGGACTAGGCTCACAGGTATGAGCCACACCTCTCAGGCCCTTGACATTCAGAGTTCCAACAGTTCACCACTGTGTGAAAACGCACTAGCTTCAAGCAAATGGTTCCTGATTCCCCCCACTCCCCGGTCGCTGCAAACACAGAATCCACTTGCTAGACCTCAAAGAACTGAGAACACAGACTTTTCTTGATGAAACAAGATGGAGCAGCGAAGAGGCTACCCCACTGATAACACGCTGCCAGGACTGCATTGTCCTCATTTTCGTCTGTCCAACCCTCTGATGTGTCTGACAGGCAGCTGTCACCAAGAGGAAGGCCACACACCTCCAACTCCTAGTTGGCCTTTACTTGGTGCAGAGGCAACCCCACTGTCAGCAGCAGGAAGATGGTACCTGGCTCAGCTTGCAGGTGGACACGGGTTCTTAGGCAAGAACACAGCCCTCCTGTTGGGCTGGGGTTTGGGTCTTTGCTTACACACGTCAGGAAGTGTGTGAAGTCCAATTTCAATAAAGATGTTCAGGGAACACCAGGAGGAGGATAGCCATGTAACCTATCTATTGTCAATGCCCCGAAAGCCCAAGACCCCTTCAACAGTAATCCATTTACTCCAAAAACCTCTCGGAAGCATGTCCCTGCTGCCACCCTTCAGTTTATTAATTTTATTCTATGTTTTTCCTGTATCCATGTCTTCAGTGCTGTCTGGTACCTTTGGATCCCCTGGAACTGGAGTTGCAAATGGTAGTGAACCACCATGTGGGTTCTGGGAACTGAACTCAGGTCCTCTGCAAGAGCAACAAGTGCTCTAACCACTGAGCCATCTCTCCAGCCCCCGAAGCATATTTTTATAAATAATAATAACAATAATAATAAAAAGCAAAAGCAGCAATTACGGTGGCCAAGATTTTACCTAAGGTGGGGAGAAAAACATTTTTTCCTAGTTTAAGAAAATTTACCAGGAAAGATGGTCTGCAACCTAGTTCTACTAAATTCAGAAACAGGACGTTAACTAAAAATATAAATGGCTTCTTTTTCTTAATTCTACAGAACTGGGCTGAGCTGAGCCACTGTCTATTTACTATGTATTAATTATTTGTAAATACTGTATAATAATTTCAGGTGTGTGAACATTCTGAAGGTGACTGGTACACTGTACTAATCTTCATGCAGAACCAGTGCTGGAAGCACAGCAGGAAAACAAATCGAGTCACTTCCAGTCACGAGCCAGAGCGTAGACACTTGCTAAATTGAGAAAGCAACAGTTCAAGAACTCCATCATGGGGGCCAGAGCGATGGCAAAGCAGTTAAGAACACTGGCTGCTATTCCACAGGACCCAGGCTGGAGTTCAGGCAACCACATCGCAGTAATCATATGTTTTCCAGTTCCCGGGCATCTGACACCCTTCTGGACTCCATGGCCACTGCACATATTTGGTGCACAGACAGGCATAAAAGCAAAACACCTATACACAGAAAATAAAATAAATCTGGAGGAAAAAAAAAATTCTGGCCTGGATGCAAAGCAGTGATGTGAATGCTGGAGTCTGCGCCTGGAACAGTGCTGGCCTCTACCCCAAGTCCACAGGAGCCACCACTGCCAGACTGTACTTCACCACTGGCCTGGGCAGGGTAGCCTTACATGTAAATCCATCACCTTCATTCCACAGAAAAGAGCTCTGATGCACTGTCCACATCTTCATATTTATTTCCACAGTGATAACATGGAATATATTTAGCTACCATTACAGAGAGAGAGAGAAAAAAATCTCTCGATGATTTACAAGTTAAGTCCCATAACAATGAATTCCAACTATTCAAAATCTGTTGACTTGACATTTATTGAATAAATGCTGAAGTAGATGTTAGAGTCCCATCTAGTCGCAGAACCATGTCAGATTTCGGCTTGCAATGTACTTACGATGGGACATAACTTCTAACTCCACGGCAAGATTGACAACGACATCCCATGAAGTACACAGATTTCCTGACCCAACATTTCAAGGATATTTTGTGATACTAGTTTAGTTTTGATCTCTCCCTAAAAGGCAGAAACCACACCTCACACTCCTATGTAAATTCCTATTTGGGGATTTTAAAGGAAAGAGAAGAGGTGGAAGCATGAAGAAAACCCAGCTTCTTTTGGCACGGTGCGGCCGATTTCTCAGAGAGGGGAGCAGACGGCCTCTATCCATCTGCTCACGGCTGGTCATCACAGGTCCCTTAGAAGATGCCTGTATTGCTGCCACCACAAGGGACTTGGAAGTATGGGATTGCAGCATTTGTCATAAAAGCTAAACATGTTTAGGAAACATACAAGGTGAACCCAGTCGGTGATGCCTATGTACAAGACTTGTGCTTGAAGCTTCGGTGTGCCTTCTTGGCCAGCTTCTCAGGCACCAAAGCCCATTCCTGATTCATTACTGATGTACAATGCAAACCAAACTACAGAGACACTTTTTTTTTTTTTTTTTTTCCAGAAGAGGGCAATAAAGGCACAGAAACCTGCCAAAATAGATTTCTTTTTCCCATAAGAATAGTGTGGCTGATCAAAATAGTTTAACACTAGTAAAACCTGGATCAGTAGAGCAGACGATACAAATTAGTTTTAAAAAAATGACATTCACTGAATTCCTGGTCTGTGCATTCAATGTGAAGAATCATCAAAAACAGATGACAATTAAGGGTCTGTAAGGAGCCCTATCTGTGACTTCTACTCAGTGTGCAGGTGCGAAGGACATGGCACACCTGTGTATACTGCTCGTCCTATGTAATGCATGGGAGAGTCTGTCCTCGTGTGCAGGCTGACACATGCCTGTGGTGGCACACTCCTACATGACTTCCCATCAAACTCCACACAGGGAGAGTAATAAACTGTATTACACACTAATAAATATTTCTGCTTTTGCTTTTAAGCTCAGCTTAAATTTTGTCAAGGAAACCATTTCACAAGAGGGAATGTCACAGCCTGCTCTCAGCAACTGTCCTTGTTTATTAGAGTCTGAAGATGCCCATATTCATCAAATATAAATATATATTTATATTTACATTTCCTTCTTGGCTTTTCATTAGGAGACTGTATCTACAGGGAGGCTTCAGTGCACCTCCTGAGACCCTCAGGGCAGCGGGTCTCACGACCTAACGCACACACAGCGATTGGAAGAGGCACACTGTTCTAAAAACGATAGGGACGAATGGGGAATCCATGAACTGAGATCTGGACATTTCCTAAAAGATTCTGTTCTGTTTTTTAAAAATTTAAAACACCTGAAAAACATGGTCCCTTTTGCAGTACTACTCTCTACTTGGGGACAAGAAATAAAATATGCAACTCAGAAAGACCAAAAGGAACGAGAACCTGCGTGCTAGCTTGTTAATTTGCGTAGGAAGAGCCGTGTGGAAACATCTGGAAGCTTTACAGCATCAGACAAAACAATGTTCAGCTTTCAAGGAAGCTGCTACACATTCTTAGAGATGTGTTTCCTGGCTACAGTCTGCTGCCTTGGGGGGGCTGGTCTTGGTCACTTTCTGTCGTCGATGGTTTTGATAAACTCCACTGCTGCTGTGAACTGCATCCACCAGTAGGACTCTTCTCCAGACAGACAGTTGGCATAGAAGCTGCTGATGTACTGCACAGTAGACAGCAGGCAGGGTGGGTTTGCCTAGACAGGTGGAAAATAAGAAAGAGCCCGTCACTGGGTACTGCGCTCCACCAGAGCCATCTCAGCATCTGTTCTTCCGATCATTTGTCAAAGAGTTGCCACCTCAGGCCTCTGAACTGTTTTGGAAGTAAGCACCTTCAAGTCTTAGAAAGGAGCCTAGGATTCGAACCTATTACTTTGTGAACCCTGGTATACCTATGTGGCCTCCCCGCTCAGGAGGCCACAGAAACTATCAGACAAAAGAAAGAGACTCACCTTTATCAACACGAACACCAACACAGGAACAAAGTCATCTGCCCCAGGGACAGAGTCCTCATTGGCCAGACTCAGGAGGTTCATGATGGTGGAGCACATCCTCAGGATGCACTGCACTTTGTCCCGAGGGGTTTTGTAAGCACTTATTGTCCTGATTTCTGCCTGTGCAGATGGCCACGGTGCCTCTCGAAGATAAACCTAATAGGCAAGATGACAGACAACATTCGGCTCATGAATTCAACAATGTACAGAGCAGCCATGGTGCCCGCCCCAGCAAGCTGACAAGAAAGTATTTCCTTCCCTCCCACCCAAGATAAACCCTTCGTGTTTGAAAAGACAGCAGCTTAGACATTGGACATGAGATGGTATACCACAGAACCTGGAGCTCTTTAACGTGCCTGTGTTTCTTACAAAGCTGGGATGAGCTGATTCCAAAAGCACAGACAAGCTAGCAGCAGAAAGTGATGGTGCTTCTAGAAAAAACTAATTCAAAGCCCAGAATGGTGGCACATGCTTGTGATCCCAGCACTTGGGGGAATCACCGCAGGAGGATCAGAAGGGTAAGGCCAGTGTTAGCAACACAGCAAGCTTTAACTACAAGCTTAGACTACATAAGAATCTGTCTCTATTCTTGAGGTAATGGCAGGAGAATCTCTCTGAGTTTCAGGCCAGCCTGGTCTACACAGAAGTTTCAGGATAGCAAAAGTTCAAGTAAGACCCTATCTCAGGCAAAAAAGAACCTCCCTCTTAAATAAACAAACAGAAAAATAAATACCAAACAATAAAGACCCATACCAAAGAAAACGTAAAACTTTACAGTGCTTAATGTTTCATTATAAGAAATTGTTAACCACAGCCAGAAACCCTAAATAGCTGATCACGCAGCTTTCTTACAGACTCTCAGAAGAAAAGCTCTAATGTAACAACTATCTGCGTAGCTGTCCTGAGGCCATCCAGACCCAGGATTATCCTCTGGAACAGGTCCTGCCTGGCAGCCTCCATTAGACAGGACGCCCATGCAAAGCCCATCTGAAGGTGTGAGGGCAGCACACTGCCCAGGAGGGCAGAGCTACTTTGAGGGGAACTCTCCTGCAGGCCCTCCCCAATCCGCCACTGAGATCCTTTTCCACACAAAGGAAGTTAAATCCCAGAGCCATCCTCTCAACAGCCACAATTAAACGGAAGAACAGCTGAGGCTCTTCTATCTTGGGGCACCTGGGTGCCTTGCCAAAGTGGTAACTCTCCATGTACACCACACACACTACACACAAACCCGTATTACCTCTGGAATCTGCAGAGCTCTGTGGTTTGCAGTCACTACTTTGGATAATCTCTGGATATGTTCATGTAGAACCCTGAAAACCACCCAAAATTCATATGTAAATGCACATTTCTGCAAGTATACAAATAGTCTCAATTGTCTTTTATCCAAACAAAATATTTTAGACTCACTTCTAAATATAGATTACATTAGGTTAAGACTCTCTTAGTTGTAGGTATACTTCATTTAAAAGCCTTATCCGAGCTCAACATATGCTACAAGGTAAGTTAAAGGACAGCCTAACCTATGTAGAAAACAGTCTCAAAAAACAAGAACATCAAAAAAGGTCATATCGAAGTCCAAGCATGGCAGTAATTCCAGGCAGAGGTCAAGGGACAAGGATCAAGAAGTCAAGGCCAGCATCAGCTTGGACTACATATTAAGACCATCTGCTCTTCCAGAGAACCCAAGTTCTGCTCTCAGCACCCAAGTTAGGCAGCTCATGCTGCAGGGCACTGGCCCTCATACACACATGCATACAATTACACAGATGAACACATAAATAAAAATAAATCTTTTTTAAAAAAGAAATAAAGAAATGCTGAGTGAGCATAGAGGATGCAGGAGTGTGGAGGATGCCAGTAATGGGACCCTGCGTTCGGACACACTGTTCAGTGAAGGAAAGGTAATAAGAGAAGAGAGAAGTGATAAGCAGGAGTTACCACAGGCCAGAAAGCAAAGACCTGACTAGCTGCCCAGCCCTTCATTTTGATGAATGTAATTAGGATTTTAAAAGCTAAGGACCTGCTTCAGCAGGCGCTAACCCCAGCCTCCTGGCTTCTGATGCTCTCTAGAGATCAGTTTGCTCCCCAAACTCTGTAAAACCTGCAGAAATGGATGGAACAATGGATAGGAATAAACTCTCTGTGGTACACACAGCTTCAACATCCCAGCTCCATACCACATGCCAGACTTGCAAGCAGGTGCTCTGGAGAGGAAATGGGCCTATGGTAAGGAAGCAGCCTGAGACTAGGGCACTTAGCGGGATGCTGGAGCAATCCCAGTGCCCACTTCACTTCACGGGAAGGTACATTCTCTCAAACGTGTGCAGCTCCTCAAAATGTAGCTTGGGCGCAGCTCAGTGGTAGAGCACACAGGAAACCCTGGGTCCTATCCACTGTGTGCACACCAATTCACAAACACAAAATCAGTAAAAAGCAAAAAAACAACTAATAACTTTCCTTGAGATCCTACCTACCACATGGATTCCTGAGGGTCCACGGGCACCAAAGTCACTGTCATTGCTAGACACCATGGTGGCAATGTCAGTATATTCAGGCAGAAACAGGACTGTGCAGTAGTATTCAAGAAAAGACAGGAGGAAGAAGGCCAAATTCTCTACACTCCACTTTTCTACCTCACCCTGCCACCCAACAGCTTTGTTTTTTGTTTTTTGTTTTTTGTTTTTTTTTAAGAAAAGGTTTTACTATGGACTTGGACTTGCCTCCCCAGAAATATGTGTCACCTTGCCTGGCTCAGGCAGCTCTTTTACTTATAATACTCGGTTCAAACTCAGAGCCTTTTGTAGCCTACACAGACTACATCTGTAGCCTGCAAGATAACTTTTTAAAACAGCTTTCTTTCAGTACAGGTCACACACCATACAACTATGGATGCCTGCAGATATCCAAATACATAGCTATTAATTCTCAATAAATACATAACGAGCACATTTCAGAAGCCAAGCCCCGTTCTTGGTTCAATGGCACAGTGGAGAATAAAAGTGGGTTTGTTCGTTTGTTTGTTTGTTTTCACAGGGAACAGGATCTCACATTGTAGCCTGTGCTGCCCTTACTTTGAGATGAGCCTCTTGCCTAAGCTGCCCAAGTGCTGGGCTCACTGGCATAAGACACCATACCTGGTTTACAAGCAGTACTTCCTTCTCTCATGGTGGGCACAACCCGTAGAGAAAAGTATGTGTGACCTTGAGAAAGACTGAGCAAGAACAGGGGAAGGTTGCAAAGATGGCAAAACTGGGAAAGTACTTGCAAAGTGAAAATGAAGACCTAAGTTTGAATGTCTAGCCTCCATGCATGCCTGTCACCCCAGCGCTGCAATGGTGGAGACAGTAGGATCCCTGCGGCTTGCTGGACAGTCAGCAAGCTGAGTTCTAGAGCCTCACGTTCAGCAGACACCTTGTCTTTAAAAATAGGTGAAGAGCAACTGAAAAAAACACATGATGTTGACCCGTGGCCTCTACATGCACCTCACACACCTCACACACACAGAGAAGAGTGTCTGCCAAGTATGCACAGGCCCAAAGGTCAAGCCCTCATAGTGGAAGGATGTAAATGAGGGACTGTCTGGCAGTGTCTAGAGATGCTTTCAGTTGCCATAACTGGCTGGATGTTATGGGCCATGAGTACTGCTAACCACCTACCATATCCAGGACAGGTTCCTGTATTAAATAACTACCAGGCTCAAAATGTCAGAGCTACTGGAAATGGCTCAGGGTTACGAGTACTGGCTACTCTTGACGGGGCCTTGGCTAGGTTCCCACCACCCACACAGCAGCTCACAACCATCTCTTAACTCCAGCTCCAGAGGACCTGATACCTTCTTCTGACCTCAGAGGGCACCAGACACACACATGGTACACATGCAGGCCAAACACTAATACAGATAAGATAAAAATAAATCTTAAAAAAAAAAAAAAACAAAAAACAAACAAACAAAAAAAACCACAAAGATCTTTAAAAAATTATAAGAGATGGCTCAGCGGTTAAGAGCACTGCCTGCTCTTCCAGAGGTCCAGAGTTCAATTCCTGGCAACCACATGGTGGCTCACAACCATGTATACTGGGATCTGATGCCCTCTTCTGATATGCAGGTAGAATACTCATACATAAAATAAATAAATCCTTCAAAAAAAAAAAAAGAAAGAAGAAACCAGGCCAGGCATGGTGGCACAGGCCTTAGTCCCAGCACTCAAGAGGCAGAGGCAGGTGGATCTCTGTGAGTTTGAGGCCAGCCTGGTCTACAAAGTGAGTTCAGGACACCCAAGGCTACATAAAGAAACCCTGTCTTGAAAAACAAAAAAGTAAAAAAAGTAAACAAACAAAAACAACAACAGATGAAACCATGACTCAAACAAATGGCATATGACAACTACAAAACTATTACATGTAAAAGCATGAGCAATTTAAAGTAGAAAGGAAATGGGTTCCTAAGAAAGTGAAGCCTGGGTCAAGACCAAACAATTGTGAAGAGCTCATTCCACAGAACATGTGAGGCAGGTACACACAGAAAAGCTATCCCAACTCATACTACTCTTTTCCCACTGGCACAAGCCCTCAAACTGCAGATGAGCACCCACTTGGATTACATAACTCAGATGAGTGTAAGTGGTAACAGATACATTTTGTTTACTATTGCACAGCAAACCAAAGCTATAATTTAAGACCAGCACAGACATGCAGCACAGTACTCACTGGTCTCGAAGGATGTCCCCATCCTGGTTAGGGTAGAAAGCAAGTTTGAAGATCCGATTCATCACACTCCGCTCAATGGCCAGCTGGGCATCCTGCAGCTGCTCCTCGCTGGCATTCTGCCAGATGACATCCTGAGCCATTGCACCGTAGAGGAACTGTAGAAAATCCTCCACTTGAGCAGTCTTATCATCAGCAGCAGTAAGTTTCTGAAAGTCTCCAAGAAAAACAGTAATCTTTAAAATATGTCATAGAAGTTAACACTAAAGGGGAGCTACAGCAGACCCTCATATCTTTATTTTTGTTTCCATTATTCTTACTTAAAGTATTAAATGGAAAAGTTCTAGAAATAAACATCTGCAAATATTATTTTTATCTCTCTCTTTTTTTTACATTTACCTGCCACTGCACACCGTGGAGGCCAGAGGCCACTTGTATGAGTTGGTTTATCCACCATATGAGTCCCAGGAATCAAGCTCAGGTCATCAAGCTTGGTGACAAATGCCTTCACTCACTGTTCCTAAGCTTTTAAACTGCACAATGTTCTGGATAGCATGAAAAAAAAATCTAGAAACTCTCATTCCACCCAGCCTTGACATGAGTATCCTTTTGGTTAGGACACCATACTGTGGACACAGCCTGCTCATCAGTTACCTCATTTATAGCTCACTTATCCATTCGGCATATGCATAGTTTAAGTCTCAACTGTGTAGTCTCAGAGTATGACTATCATGAAGAGAAGAGGAAGGTAATCTATGGAAATCATTCTAGTTAACAAATGACAGGAACACCATAATCTTAAAGCCAAAATATCAAAAGCATGGAAAAGTAAGACATTTAAACACAAGGGGTTGTTATAAAATATACACAGTTTTTAAAAAACTGTGTGATTATAACTTGGTTATGGTGACAAATGCCTACATTCTCATCATTTAGAAGGCTGGGGTGGGAAGGCCAAAAGCTGGAGGCCAGCCTGAGATACACTGAGATTGCCTCAAAACGTCTTTAATGCCAACACTTGGGAGTAAGAGGGAAAAGGATAAACATAGTTCATGGCTAGCCACAACTACACAGTGAGTTTAAAGCTAGACTAGGCTATATGAGATTTTGAATCAAATATAATAAAGAAAAAGTAGGCAGAAGAAAGAAAGAAAGAAAGAGAGAGAGAGAGAGAGAGAGAGAGAGAGAGAAAGAAAGAAAGAAAGAAAGAGAAAAAGGAGACCCAGAATTTTAACATCTCCAATTTTCTTTTAAATGCATATAGGTGTTTTGCCTGCGTGTATACTGCAGAAGAGTGCAGAAGCCAGAAGAGGGTGTCAGACCTTCTGGAACTAGAGTTATAGATGGTTGTGAGCTGCCATGTGGGTCCTGAGAATTGAACCCAGGTCCTCTGGAAGAACAGCCAGTGCTCTTAACTGCTGAGCCATTTCTGCAGCTCTTGTTCAATTTTTAATATATAGCTACTCAGTCTCAGAGAAAAATAATGCAACTTAATAGATTTGTTATCAATGCTTAATTTTTCTTTTTAAAGCAATGGGGATTGAATGGCCTCATGCATGCTAAGATAGAGCTACCACTAAACTTATGTTCTTACTCTACGTTGCTTTTTTTGGAGAGCGGGGGTAGCTCTGGCTGTCCTGGAACTCACTCTGTAGACCAGGCTGGCCTCAAACTCACAGAAACATGCCTGCCTCTGCCTCTTGAATGCTGGGATTAAAGGCATATGCCACCATAGCCTAGCTTGCTTTTGCTTTTAATCTTGAGACGGAGGGTCTTATTAGTTGTCCAGGCTAGCCTTGAATTCATTTCTAATCCTCCCTGATCTCAAACTCACTCAACAGCCAGGAAAGCCTTGAACTTGTGATCTTCCTGCCTCAGCCTCCTGGGCAGCTTGTATTACAGAATGATACCACTATGCCTATGTTTTTGTTTTTTTCCTTTGAGACAGTCTCTTTGTCAGCAAAGACTGACTTAAATTCACAATCCTCCTCTCTCAGCCTCCTAAGTGCTACATCATAGGTTGGGGCTTCAAAGTTTATTAAGAGCAGGGCATGATATCATGCAACTTAATCCCCAGATTTCGAGAGGCAGAGACAGGAGGATCTCTGTGATTTCAAGGCCAGCCAGGACTACATAGTGAGACACTGGTAACCCACCCCCCCCAAAAAATCCAAAAACATGAAAGTGACATTGCTGTTGGATCTCTATGCAATCTCAGCATCTGGTTATACTGAATTAGCACTCCCTGCAGTGTGATAATATATACCTAGGCGGGAAGCAGATCCTGGAGGCAGGGTTGTCAAGGTCTGTTGTTACCCTCCCATTCTGAGCAGCAGGTTGCCTAGCACACAGAGATTGACTTCCAAACCTTCAGTGTTCACTCCCAGTATGGAGCAGCAGACAGAGTGGCTTTCTCTACCCATCCTGAGCTGGATCCCTTGTTCATAGAACAGAGCAGCACTGTGGAGCAGGCCAGTGAAAGCTGACAACCACAAAGAATAAGGATCTGGCCTTCCCTCTGCTGGACAGGCAGCAGCACACCGCTTCACTGTCTGTGAGTTCTTGATGAGGTCTCTTCAACTGGCAGCCCCCAAATTGCACACTGGCTGACCCCATCTAGGGCGGCTGATGTCTGTGGCTGTGTTTCAGGTAGCCTATCTGCAGTATAGAGTTCCTTCCTCATAGTGTAGGGAGCCATTTGGGTTTCTTTCTTTTTTTGATAAATTCCTTTGTTATTTACTTAAAAAAAAAAAAAAAAAAACTTACTTTCCCAATGAAGATGAGGGTTTTGCTTGCATGCATGTCTGTGTATCACATGCACACCTGTCTTATTACATATGTGTAATATGTAATATGTGTAATATGTGGCATACACCAATCCACTACTTTTAAGAATAAAAGTAGTGAAAAATAAAATTTAAAAGCAGCTAGAGAGCAGCTTAGCAGCTAAAAGCAGTTTGCTGTTCTTCCAGAGGATGGAAGTTTGGTTCCCAGCACCCATGTTAGGAGGCTTACAACTCCTTGTAACTTAAATATAAAGAGATCTGATCCCTCTTCTGGATTAAACTGACACACACAGACACAGACAACACACACACATACCACATGTGCACACAAATACTAAAAATCTCCTATTTTACTATTGTTGCTGTGGTTATTTTCACTGTGGATGGGTGTTTTGCCTGTATTTGTCTGTGCACCATGTTTGTGCCTGGTGCCTGCACAGGCTAGAAGATTGCAAATCCCCTGGAACTGGAGTTAAGAGATGATTATGAGCTATTGCCATGTAGTGACAATTGAACCCTGGTCCTCAGGAAGAGCAGCCAGTGCTCATAACCGCTGAACCAGCCACTTCATCAGCTCCCAAAATCTTAAAATAGAGGAAGGGAGGGAGTAAGAAAGGGACTCAGTAAGGAAGAAGACAATTTAAGGAACTGTTGTAAGGCACGCAAGCTTGTCCATAAATGTGCAAAGCAAAACAGTTCTCCCCATTTCACTGGCTGAGGAGAGGTCTGTCTGAATGCATTCAGTTACCTTGAATGAACTCCCTGATCTTCTTTTCTTTGCTCTCAAGCAGTAACCTCACACAGACAGTGGTAAAGTACCGGTTGGCCACCTCTTTGTCTCGCAAAACTCTTTGCAGGAGTCTTTCCAAGTGAGCCTGTGTGGTCTGCAGTCCTTGTCGACAGCGGGTAAGATAAGCAATATATGGGGCTCTTTTTCTGAAAGAATAAAGCAGCTACTAAAATCAGATGCATAACAGCATATACTTTCCTCAGCAACTAAGAGTCTTAATTTTTTAAAACAATTACTTCACAGACTCTGGTTTTTATAAGTTGGCACGAGAGGCTATAGACAAGCATCTTGGGAACCATTCATGCTGCCAGCTCAAGAAAGAAAGCCCTTGTGCATGTTTTTGTGGCACATTATCATCAGCACCTAACTTACTACATGTCTCTAAGGCCCTTTGCAGGCTCATTTCATTTAATACAAAAGCACGGTCTCCATTCTAGCAGGACCCCACACTTAACAAAAAAATTGGCTGCTGCAACAAAATACAATCATATGCACTAGATCATTAAATAACCACCACCACTTATAGTGTTAGTGTAACAGGATCCCGGAAAGCTGGTTGCCTCCATTCTGCCTAAGTGCCCCACTCACATTTCCCCCAAACTGGCAAGGACTTGGTGGCAAAACACAGTAACAATTCCTAAGACCATCTCTGCCTCTCTGGTCGCCTTTTTTGTTGTTGTTTTGGTTTGGTTTCGGTTTTTGGTTTTTTTCAAGACAGGGTTTCTCTGTAGCCTTGGCTGTCCTGGAACTTGCTCTATAGACCAGGCTGTCCTTGAACTCAGAGACTCACCTGCCACTGCCTCCTGTGTTGGAATCAAAGGAGTGTACCACCCCCTCCTGACTTGGATAGAGGCTTTAAGCAACACAGCTTAAAAATGTTGTAAACCAACAGTTCTTGCTAATAAAGAAGAGTAATTTACTTCAGCTTTTCATAAACACAGGTAAAGAAGAGTTTTGGGAAATGGTTAAATAAGTAAAGTACAATTATGATGCCCTGAGTTTGGTTCTCCAGCAACCAGGCAAAAGCCAACCTTGGTATGTATTTGTCCATCTTGGAGGAAGCAGATATTTATGGATCCTGTGTGTTTGACTAGCCAAAACTGCAGGCTGCAGGTTCAGTAAGAGATCCTGTCTCAAAAGAAAAAGGCAGCTGGGTGCCAGTGGCGCACATCTGTAATCCCAGCACTCAGGGAGGAAAAGGAAGGTAAATCTCTGTGAGTTCGAGGCCAGCCTGGTCTATAAAGAGAGTCTAAGACAACACAGAGAAACCCTGTCTCAAAAAAAACAACCAACCAAATAAACAAAAAGCCTCTACCCAAGTAAACATAATCATGCACTCTGTAATAACATTATAGTCATTTCTTCAATAAAGACCAATTAAAACACACAAGAAAAAGCCTCCCTCTAACCAAACAAAACAAAGCATTGTCAGTTCATAGTCAGCTCTCTGAACTGGCCAGGCTGGGAACAGTACCTATAGTCTTCAGCAATGGATGCCAGCAATTTTCTACATGTCCTGTTGTCAAAGCGGCATACACAACGCATTGTTTCTTGAAGTTGAGCCATTAAGTTCTTATCTTGTAAATTAATTGCTTCAGCTATTTGAACTTTTAAGAAGCATACAATTTCATTGTCTAAAAACAAACACAAACAAGAATTCTGTTAGGGTGTGCACAACCTCTCAGCATTTGGGATGTCAATTCTTCTGTATCACAAACCATTAGAACCAAGCAGTATTGCCACTCTTGTTTAGGAAATAAAGTTAGAAATCAAGGTACGAGGAGCTGGGGAGATGGCTCAGGGTCAAAAGCATGTGCTGCTTTCCCAGAGGACCTGCTCATAGCAGCTCCCACCCCCGGCAGCTTATAATTGTCTGAACTCCAGCTCCAGGGGCTCTACTGCCCCCTTCTGGCCTCTGTGAGCACCCAACACAGATGGCAGACACATAAAAACATTAAAAAAAAAAGAAAGAGAAATTAAAGTATCCTTAGAGGACTTATTGGACCACAGGGAATTTCTGTGCCTCTGACAGGAGATGGGTGACTTCTATTCTACTGTTGAAGCAGTATACATGTTAGAGTAAGGAATCATGAAGTGACTTGCCTTCCGGGTCTGTATGGTCTGGCAACCCATTCCTTGTTGAGTGAGTTAGCACTGGGAAGGCCACGGAGTCTGCAGAGCAAAGTGCGAGCCTCAGCTTCTTTTTTACATCTCTGAAGAGTAAGTGCAGGGCACATTAATTTACTTACACAGAAATGATCATATCCTTTTTTTGTGGTGTCTGGAGCTGGGACCCAGAACCTCTGGCTAAGTACATCCTCAGCCAAACATGGTTACATTTTAAAAATATTTACACATAAATTAACATGTTAGCTCAGAAGATCTCAAATGCTACAAACAATTCTTTAAGAAAAGATCCATTTCAACAAACTGGCACCTCTCTGAAAAGTACAGGCCTCTAGGCACTGGCTAAGAGAGCCAGAAGAGTGTTCTGGGCAAGCTCTGCAGGGCCTCTACAATCAGCCAAACCAGCACTACAACCAGCACTACCTGAGTACACTAGAGAGCTGAGAGTAGACAGTGGGTATGCCACAGATGCCCATGACCCAACCTGAATGCTTCCTCCCAGCCTCTCCACAAATGTTGGGCCTGATTCAGACATGGCTGTCCTTTGACAAGAAAGACCTGCTATGCTTTACTGCCTAGAGGGACAGATCTGCTAACTTTCAGCTGTGACCCACCAATTGCTATTTGGTGGCAAAGCCTCTTCAGGTAGAGGCCTCCTTCCACAGCAGTCAATTCTTCCTACCCATGTGAACAGGTGCTTCCCCCTTTCCTATGCCTTTCCTGGCCTTGTGCAGTTGTTTAAAGAAGGGAGTCTGATGTCCTGGAGAACAGCCAATTGCCCTTCCACAGGTCAACACATGCCTACCTCATGACTAGCTTTGGTCTTGCCTTAGCCAATCTGACCCTACAAAACAAATGACTTAGAAATCAAGCTCATCAAATGTAATATTCAACCACTGTTCTAGTTTGTTTTCTGTGGCTGTGGTAAACACCATGACCAAAGGCAACAAGAGGAGAAAAGTTTACTGGACTCGCATGTCCAAATGACAGTCACCCATTGAGGAACCAGGGCAGAACTCAAGCAGGAGCAGAGGCAGGAGCCATGGAAATCTGCTTGCTCTCCTCAAGCTTCCTTCATGCCTCACTGACTGGCCCCCACTTCTTTTTTCCCCATTTTAAAAAGGTTTACTTTTATTGTTTTAAAATATGTGTGCATGTGTGTGTGTACCTCTGCGTGTTTGTGCACATGAGTGCAGTTGCATATTGAGGACAGAAATATCAGATCCCCCTGGAGCTGGAGTTAACAGTGGCTGTGAGCCACCTGATGTGGGTGCTGGGAACTGAACTTGGATCTTCTGGAAGAGCAGTACAATCTTTTAATCACTGAGCCACCTCTCCAACCTTCAGCTTGCTTTCTTGAACAGCCTGGAACCACCTGCCCAGGGGTAGGACTGCCTACAGTGGGCTGGCTGGGCCCTCCCATTTCAACCATCAATCATGAAAATAACATGCCAAAGACAAGCCTGTTGGCCAATCCAATACAAGCAATTCCTCAACTGAGGTTCCCTTTTCCCAGGTGACTTTGCAGTTTGTATCAAGTGGACAAAAATTAACCAGTATACCCATTTTGCCAAGAATTTCATAAAACATATTATGGTGAAGTCACCTAATTTAGGGAAGCCATGACTGAGTAAAACTGTCTGCCATTCCCTCTTTAATTTTACTGTAGGGGAAAAAAATTGTGAAGTTATCAAATACTTATGGATAAAATAATGTTTAAGTTTACTTTAAAATAACTGGATAAAATAAGTGTGAAATAATGCTGTATATTAATAACTATGAATTTGAATTAATGGGCACTTCATCATATACTTTGAATTTTGTACTACTTGAAAATTTCTACAATAAAAATTTAAAAATGGGACATAGCATGGTGGTGCACGTCTTTAATCCATCCGAGCACTCAGGAGGCAGAGTTGCAAGTTCCTGAACAGCCAGGGTTGGCTACACAGAGAAATCTTGTTTCGAAAACAAACAGACAAAAATTTTAAATGGGGCCGGGCAAAAATTTTAAACGGTGGCACATACATTTAATCTCAGCACTTGGGAGGCAGGGGCAGGTAGATCTCTGTCAGTTCAAAGCCAGCCTGGTCTATAAAGTGAGTTCCAGGACAGCCAGGATTCTGTTACACAGAGAAACCCTGTCTCAAACAAAACAAAAAGTAAAAAATGGAGAAATGGGAGCTGGAGAGATGGCTCAGTGGTTAAGAGCACTTAGGTCTTCCAGAGGACCAGGTTCAGTTTCCAGCACTCACATGGCAGCTCACAACTGTCTGTAACTCCAGTTCCAGGGGATCTGACACCGTCAGACATGCATGCAGGCAAAACAGCAATGCACGCAATGAATGAATGAATGAATGAATGAATGAATGAATGAATGAATGAATGAATGAATGAATGAATGAATAAGTGAATGGATAGATAGATAGATAGATAGATAGATAGATAGATAGATAGATAGATGTTAAAAGGCAAAGAAATTTTAAAAATGAAGAGATGGAGAGAAGGAACAAGGACACGCCGCTGGCTGATGGTACTTTAGGGTGTCCTTGTCTGAGGAAGTAGCAGCCCCTTCAAAACACAAGTGCAAAATGTCAGGATCCAAAAGTCACTTTCACAAGCCCAGCTGGGGAGAGGCAGGGAGAAGCCCTGCAGGGAATGCAGAGGATGCCAACACTGAGCTCTAGTATGTAGTGGGATGATCCTAGAACTATTCCTGATCCCCTGGGTCTCCCACTGTGACCAATGCAGGCTGGTAGTTTTACACAGACAGTGGTTCTGCAACTTGTTTAAATTGCCTGTGAGGCTCCTGGGGACATAGCAGTGTTTTGTTTTTTAATTCTTGAATCTATGTTTTATCTGATATCCACAAATGGATATCACTTAACCAAAAAAAAAAAAAAAAAAAAGACAGTATTTCACCGTATAGTCCTAGCTGCCCTGTAGGTCTATAGACCTAGGCCTGTAGCACAGTGTAGATCAGGCTGGCCTCAAACTCAAGATACATCTGGCTCTGCCTCCTGAGTGCTGGCCCAAAGTGAGTTTTCTTAGTAAATAGCATTTCATTCTTCTCTTTGGTGTGCATACACGTGTACGTATATTTCAGGTGTGCATGTGAATAGAGGCCACAGGACAACCCAGGAGACGCCATCAGCTTTGGCTTTTTGAGATAGGGTTTCTCACTGGCTTAGAGCTTGGTCAATGAACTCTAGGGCTCCACTGCCCTCTCAGTGTTGGGATTACAAGTGCATACTGTCATGCTTGCTTTTTTCAGGTAGGTCCCAGGGATTGAATTTAGGGACTCATAACTTGTGCAGCAAGCACTTCATGAACCGGGTCATCGTCCAGCCCTTTTTTATACTTAACAATCGGTTGAAATGATTGCATGGTGATTTAAAAAAAGTTCAAAGCCTATATGGGAAGAGTTGGAAAGAGGAAAGGGAATGGGGGATGTAATTATATTTTAATTTTATAAAATATTAAAAAAAAAAATGCCAAGGTGGCACACACCTTTAGGAGGCAGCACTCTGGAGGCAGAAGCAGGCGAATCTCTGAGTTTGAGGCCAGCCTGGCTATAGAATAAGTTCCAGGACAGCCAGGACTACACAGAAAAACCCTGTCTCAAACAAACAAGCAAACAAAACGACAACAACAAAAAGACTCCAAACCCCAAAGTTCACAGCCTAAAAGAAATACCTGTAAGAGAAAGCAGAATCCTGAGGTTGGGCTGCTTGGCTGGCAGAGTCGGGGAGATCATCAGCTGAGATGTTCTGCAGTGCTTCATCCCGGGGAGAATCATGAGCACTTTCACCGTCACCCATGACCTCTAAACAAAACCAGTCCCCAGGGAAAAGGTAACCCAGTTAATGTGGAAACTTCTGCTACTAGCAAGTATTCAGAGAAATTTAATCATAAGTCAGTCTGTCTTGCAATAAGAGTTCTTGGAGAAAGAAAACAAATTTGAGACACATGAAGCTCAAGAGCAAGGGCAATATATCAAGGCAGCCGACATCACAGCTAAGAACTGTACTTTTTACCTCAGTGTACAACAACCAACGCTTGAAACAACCATTCCACAGTCAGAATCACTGAACCATAGAACTAAGAGCCTCAAAAGGCTTTTTAACAATACCTTCACTTGAGAGACATGACTCCTGACAAGTGCTGAACAGACCCTCACTCAGGTCTCCTGATGCCCCTCAACAGAGCCCTTCCACACCTAAGACTTAGCCAGGGACTGGCTCACAAACTACCAAGGCCAGATCTGAGGTTCCCACAACTGCTGTTTTTAATGAGTCAGTTAATACAAGGTAATATACATACATATACAGTCAAGTGGCATAGGGCTCAGTAGGTAGAATGCTTGCTTAGCATACAAATCCTTGGATTCCATTCCCAGCACCACATAAAAACTGAAGTAGAGGCAAAAAGATCAATAATTCAAGGTCTGGGCTGAAGAGATGGCCAAGAGGTTAAAAACACTGGCTTCTCTTCCAGAGCACCCCCAGGTTTGGTTCACAGCATCTATAGGGTGCCTAACAAGTGTGTGTAACTCCAGTTCCAGAGGATCTAAAACCCTTTTCTGGCCTCCATGGGCACTGACACACGTGCTGCACAGATATCACACACAGGCAAAAATAACTGTGCACATAAAATAAAATTAATCTTAAAAAAAAAATTCAAGATTATCTACTGTTACTCTGATACAAGCCTGGGCTATAAACAAACAAAAAAACCTTTTAAGTCAAAAGGAATAAAATGTTCCTAGATAGTATAGATACTACACAGGATACTATGACAAAATGTTAGTAACTGGCAAATCTAAATACAGGGTTTACTAATCTTCACTGTACTGTAATTCTGGCACTTGAGAGGCAAACAGGCAGGATTCTGAATCAAGGGCAGCCTGCCCTATAGAGTGAGAGCCTGTTTTACAGCCCTAAAAGAGAAAAACAAAGAGGGAGAATCCCTCCTTGCCCTTCCTTCCTCTTCAGCCTAGGTTCCTCAGAATAGCTTACGTTACTGCTTGCTTAAGATTCTTCCAGAAAATGCTCTCAGCATACATAGGCATAGACAGATTTAGCAAACTGCTTATGCTTTTATGTGCTTTTGCTTGCTCTTAATTTATGTTGAGGACTCCGTATTTTTAAGACAGCTAGTCAGTATTCCACTATGAAGAGAGAGAACCCTGTAGAAAAGAAGTTCCAAGTAATGAGGGTGCCTTAGCCCGAGTTGGCCACCACAGATCTACTAAAAGTCTATAACCACATCAAATCTCATTTCTCCAGTAAAAAAAAGAAAGAAGTTCCCTCTCATGAAAACACGCACCAAGTTCCTCAGGGCTGCCACCCTAGACTCATTAGATTACCCTAAGCCATCTGAACATCTGGGGTGCCCAGGCTTAGTAGGAAGGTGTGGAGAGGGACATGCTAATCTGACCTTCTTACAACAGCTATAATTTTCAAATACTGTGACTGATAAAGGTTTATTTAGTTTGGATTATCTTCATCCCTATGATAAACTATTACTGTTCAAATCTATCATTATTATCACCTGCACTCTCATCATTGGCCATTGCTCCTTCACTGGGGCTGGTCCGCTTAATGGCATTCCGATATTTGTCCAGAATATCTTCAGCAACCTGAGCTTGTGCACTGAGCCTAGGGCTGGGCTCATCTGCAGGGGAAAAGAGAGAAAGAATTAGTTCCCTGGGTTCATACCAACTTTGCTGTTAGTATGACGCCGGTAGCATAATCCCAAAGGCGGGTTAGGAGGTCAAACTAAAGAAGGGCGCATATCTCAGTGTTATGAGGCACCATGCAGCTGCCTACTCAACCCCACTAGTAGGTCTAAGAGCCTTCCCAAAGCAGGAAACCAGGAAGATTCACTCTACCTTAGCACTGTTAGAATTCTGCATGAGTGTGTCAAAGTTCAGTGCAGAAAGGATTCTAAAACACTTGCTCGAGTCACAGTAACTATCAATTCATGCTAACACAACTTCCACCAATGGTTCCTTTCTCTAGGAGTGGGGAGCAAATAGAAGAGTTTCGCTGTGTAACCTGGCTGATCTTCAACTCATTATGCAGCTCAGGTCTAGCTTTGAGTTTGTGATTCTCCCAGCTGGGCCTGCTGAGTGCTGAGACCACCACATAGCCCCAACAATGAATTTTTATAAACACACTTACTCAGACACTTCCAAGCTGAAGGAGAAAAATAATTATTCAAATTAGATGGAAATCCCTTTTTACTTTTGATAAATGGCTTCCTCCATCCTTTCTTTGTGAATCTTTCTTTACATCATATTTCAAAGCTACAGAACATACTACTCTCTCACACTACATCTCTCCATGACAGTGCAGCTGCCTACACACAGCACGTTTGTTCATACAATGGTCACTGGCATTGCTAGAGAACCTAGGCATTCTGGGGGCCTAGGATGGTCTGTGGGCTACACAGAAAGCAGAATGTTTAACCAATAGGACTGTTACTCTGACAACCAAATCAGATATCAGAACTATTGACCTAGCTTACTATCATGGCACATGCTTGTAATTCCAGCACTTGGAAAGTAGAAATAAAAGACTTATGAATTCAAGGCCAGCTTGAGCTATAGTGAGACTCTGTCTCAAAAAGAACCAATCTAGGAATATATGCCAGTGGTAGAGACTTGCTTAGCATTTACGAGGCCCTGAGTTTGATGCACAGCACCACACACACAAGTTGGCCTACAGTCTAAACAGTAGGCATTAATGAACTGCTACGGATCTTCAATACAAAATGACAATCCATAGTAAATCTCAAACTCCTGATGTTGAGCTAGGTTAGTGGGTAACCCAGCTCTCTAATGTCTGGTAGAATCCCATTTGTAAAAATTTCTAAAATCATATCAAAATCACTACATATGATAGTAACAGCAGTTAATAGTTACTGCATTTGTACCACGTGCCAGTGACCTTGTACTGAGCACCTTATGTGGACACTTACTCATCAAACAACTGCACACAGAAACACTGGCATCACTACAGCACAGCAGAGAAGTGTACAGCATGGAGACCGAGCAGCATGCTCACGGGCCTTTCCTCTCCACAAAACAAGCATCTGCTATTTATGTTTCTGTAAAATACCTCGTGTTATATAGGTGACACCCAAAATTGTGCTTTCCATTTTCTGTTTTTTGGGACATGTCTCACTCTATACTCTATGCTGGCCTTGTAGCAATCCTCTTGACTCAGACTTGTGCGTGCAGGAATTACAGGTGTGAGCCCAAAGACATTTTAAATGTCTGCTATTACACTGTGGTTATGACAAGAAATTCATAATCAACTGTGAACTTTTTCAAAATATAAATACAACCATTGCAGAAGCCTTTTAAGGAATAATATTTTGGTTGTAACTTTTAAAATACTCTTATTCATTTACTTATTTTACATTTTTGAGTGTTTGTCTCACATATGCAAATATACCACATGGCATTCCTGGTGCCTGAGGAGGCCAGAAAAGTCCTTGGAGTTACAGGTGGCTGTGAGCCAACATGTCAGTGCTGGGGACTGAACCCATGTCCTCTGCAAGGGCAACAAGGACCCCACACTGCCGAGGGTCTCTCCAGCCCCACTGGTTATCTTTTGAAAGCTCACAAGGACTATGAAAAGGGACAAATATAAATGGGCTAAACCCAGCCAATTAAACTATAATGTTGCTTATTACCTTTAATAGCATACTTCTCAAAAATGTTATGCTAGGAAAATAATTAAAGCAAAAGCAGAGTTTGGGTAGTTAGTAGGAGAGTGCCAGACTGGCATGTATAATAAGCCTGGGTTCAATCCCCAGCACTGTTAACACAATATAAAAACAACAACAACAAAAACCTATAGGTATTTTCAGAGAAAAACAATAGGAAACAACTTAAATAGTTCAACAGGAAAAGAACAATTACACTACAGTGTAGTAGAATCAAATTATATTGCAGCCAATAAAAATTATTCAAAGGCCAATTATTTCCAGTAGAAACTGGGAAGTGTTTGACACATGGTGAAGGTAAGTACAAAGTTATACATAGCTGATCCAGTCACAAAACAGCTACCACATACAAATACTCAGAGAGGTTGTAGAGACCATAAAAAATAGTTGTTAGAGAGACGGGATTTTGGTCAGACTAATACGGAATATATACAATAACATTTCTTTATAACATTTCAAACTGACCGAGACCCAAAGAAAATGAACTATTTTATAAAAACAAAAAAACTTTACTCAGCTTCTAATCTCAGCACCAAGAAAAAATTATTGCCCAAAGACCTACCAATTTCTTCAAAGTCATTTAGTAAACAATTTGCATACAAAGCTATTCCAGCCAATGTAATTAATTAAAGTTATGTTCACTGCAGTACTCTCCTCTGCCCTTTTCCAGGACAGGGTCTCACTAAGCTGACCTGATCTCCTGCCCCTGCCCCCTGAGTGCTGAAATTAAAGGAATGCACCAGCATCCTCAGTGGCATAGGAATACAGGAAAATACACAAATACACTGCCCAAGATGGTGTCTTTTCCCAAAACCCAAAGTATCTAGCACAGTCTGGCACAAGTCAGATGATCAACAAATATTTGCTGACTGAAAAAGACAGGCTGAGCCGCTCTCAGCAGGGAACTATAGCCTGTCTACCTGTCTCCTGTTGCTCAAGTTACTGAATCTAATAATGCAGTGCTGTATAAGCTGAAATATGGAGGTGCACCTAACACGCACAAGTCGGCATTAGAACTGGCATCAAAATGGGATGTTGTATGTATTGTGCTGATCATCTTTGAGGCCATGTTCTTAAGACCTATTCTACTTTTAAATTAAAAAGCTTCACTGTAACTTAGTAGGGTGGAAAGATAGCACACCTTAAAATTAAGAAAAAAACAAGAAATAAACTTCCCTCTAGATACTCTGCAGAACCTAAGAATCAATGCACAGCTATCAAATTCAAAGTTGCTCATTCATGCTAGCTCTCACAGATGCTCTTAAGGTACCAAGAAGCTGCAGAAAGGCAGGTGTTGAATAAGGAAGATCCCTAAAGCTCTGCCATGGGCCAGACAGCAGTTATAAGGGTTCAAGCTGAAAAAAAATTTTGTGAACTCTTTAACTTTTACTACAATGGTTGGCATTTGTAATACTGCTTGAACAAATACTTTAGTCATAAAAAAAAAATGATTAGATAAAACAGCATTTCATTGTGACCCTGAACAAGCTAGAGCAAACTATAGATGAAAATAAATGTAGTATTCTATGATCCGTGTTAGAGAAGACTATCCAGCCAATGATCCAGAGAGATATGGCATGCAGAGCACTAGAGGCAGCGCCACACACTCCAACAGCCACATGGCATCGTCCCCTGGGTGGTGAGCTGACAGGCAGGCCTGTCAGAAACAGGTTATGGTAATGAGGATGGTGATGGTGGTGGTGGTCTATAGGAAGAGCACACCGAGACCCACTGTGGCCCCTAGGGGAAAACCACAGAGCCATGAAGAACATACTCCCCACCATACACACACAGACACACTCTTCTAAAAAGGCAACGCTTATGGCACCCAAGAAAAAGTGTTATGAAATATGTGCTCTGGGAATGAAGGAGCCAGGAAGCCCATTGGTCTACAAACCTGTGAGTGTTGAGAATCTGTCAGGCCCCAGATCATCTCTGTCTTTGTCTTGTTTCTCTTTCTTTCTAAATGGTATAGGAGCTGGAAATTAAATAGAGTCAGTAGTGTGACATATAACAGACTGCACTCCTCGGAAGTTGACTGGTGTGCCAACATTTCTAAGTGCAAGAAAGCCGAAAATTTAAAAGCTATGAAATCCCAAGCGTCAACTGGTAATCATTCTTACAATAGCACCAAAGGGTCTTAAAGAAGATTTCAGAATCTGCTTTGGAGTCATGTGCCATAGAAAGAATGATTTAATGAGGATCCACAGAGAGTAAATCAAAACCACGGCCTCTTAACCTCACCAAAAAGAACACATTCAGAGTTCCTGTCTCATTCACTCCTCCCCATTAAACAGGTTTGAGCTCGGGTAGACACAGGTCTCCTCAGCTCCTAAGTGCCTGGGAAGAGGCCTATGGAAGAGGTCAACTTTTGGGTAATCTCTTCTTCCAGGAAGAGAAGTTTTTGCCAACTCAAAGGATGCTATTCACGAAAAATACATGTATACAATTCCCTTCCACAATAGACACTAGCTACATCTGTAGGGCACGCACGCTTTCAATGCACATAGACATGAAAAGCTTAGACCTGTTCCAGAAATGTCAAAATGGCTACTCATCAATAAGTTAACAATGACAGTAGCATGCCGAGAGTCCTCCACGTTTAATGACAGTGTCTGGCATAATTTCCATCTAGAACACCACTGCCACTTCCCACCAAGAACTAAAGTTCTGCCAGAGCGTTCTTCTCAATGAAAGCATTCCTACACTTCCACGTGGCTTGAAACAGGCCCAACAACATCACAGAGGCGTGGTGAGACTGCTCTCCAAAAGAGGCTTGAGGCTTTGTTCGACAGACAGCACTCTAAAGTTTTATGAAATTACCTTTAGGCATAGCTGAAACAAATCGCTTTCTCCACCAAGGTCTGCTCCTGTCTGATCTCTCATCATCACTGTCCTTGCGCTCTTCAGTCTGTAGAAAAGAGTTTGATGTGTTATTTGGAGTTGAGCAGCAGAATAGATTGCTATGAAAAGGATTTCACTAAGTCTTTAATTCAGTTCTATTTGCCTTAAAACAAAACTGTTCTTTTTGGGGTGCTAGCAGAGGAGGAGAAGAGTGCTATGGATGGAGTTCAGAGTACCCTGCCACACTCCAGCGCAGAAAACCACTGCTATTGCCTTGCAGGCGCCCCCTAGATTGTGGACATATGCTCTTCATGTCAGACTGCTGTGCCTGAGATTAGACACTGTCTCTATACTGCTAGCAAACCAAAGGCCTAATGGAATTAGGTATAGTAGATACCCAAAGAACACCCAAAGAAGGCAGGGACTGGGGTAGAGCTCAGTGGGTGAGCAAGTGTTTAGCAGGTACAAGCTCTGGGTTCAATCCTCAGCATGACAGCAAAACAAACAAAATAGGAAACCCTAAGTAAATTCAGTGCAGTAAATTTTAATGGGGGCAAAGTCAGTGTGGTATAGCAATAGTCACCTGGTATGTCAGAACTGAGCCTAAGAACAGATCTCTCAATCCTCTCAACTACCTAGGAAAATGGCTCCTGTTATTAAGGGTTTTTTGTTAATTTTTGTTTTGAGACAGGGTCTCAATCTGTAGCCTAGGCTGGCCTCAAGTGTACTATGCAGACCAGGCTAACCTCTTCCTCACCAAATAGCTCAACTACTGAAATTGTAGGCACAAGCGACCATGCTCAGTGTATAAGCCCCCCCCTTTTTTTAATGGAAACAGGGTTTGTATGTGGCCCTGGCTCTCCCAGAATTCACTCTGTACACCAGAATGGCCTCAAATTCACAGAGATCTCCTTGCCTTTGCCTCCCCAGTGCTATAATTAAAGGCATGCACCACCATGCCCAGTCATAAGTCCTTTTTATAGATGAAGAACATGAAGTTAAATGAGGCGATCTTCCCCAAGGTACATAGCTTACATGGGGCACAGCTGACCATCACACTGAGATCTGCCTTGCCTCTCTCTGCTCACCAATTATACAGTTATCATTAACTCTGTTCACATGGAAGGACAGGGCCTGTGATTCTGTTACTAGCCTATAATGTGACCTCAGAAAATCTCTACTTTTTTCTTTATACAACTGGGACTATACAGTCTTGGCTGTTAGAGCAGGTACCTTTCTCTCTGCTCACCAGTCCACTCTTATTCTCAGAGTGCTTTTTTTGTTGTTGTTGGTAATTAACTATCTGTAGTTCTACTTATGAGGAAATACTTAAAAGGCTTCATGTGAATGGAGAACATGAAATTACTACTAACTAACAATAGCAATTTTCTCCAAGCAGTGAGATGAGGGCTTATGTATGCAGCAGGAAAGTTAGTGAGGATGGAAAGTTTATTGACAGGCAAACTTCTTAAGTACACACATGAGGAATAACAAAAGCAGGTTTTTCACCATTGAGGAGTTAAAGCATGGGAGGGATAGAAAATAAAGTTTTTTTCTAGATTGAAAGTATATACTCATTGTCCACTCATTGTTCTCTCTATGCCATGAAAGAAGTGAATACAGAGGTGTAGCATGTATACAGCTATAAACATATGCGCGCACACACTCACGTGCGCGCGCACAAGCACACACACACACCCTCCCTAGCTCTGTCCATTGATAGGCTCTGAGAGCAGCCATATGCCATAGCAATGAATTTCTGAAAACTAGTTTTGACAAGAGGACCTAGAAACCCTTGGAGAAATAGCTAATTCCAGAACTAGATAGAGAATATAATGAAGTAGCTCAGCAGTTAGGAGCACTGGTTGCTCTTCCAAAGGACACAGGTTTGATTCCCAGACCTCACATGTTGGCTTACAACCACCTGTAACTCTAGTCCCAGTGACCCAATGCCCCTTCTGGGTTCTGACGGTGCTCTATGTGATATACAGGTAGACATTTGGGTAAACACATACATACATTCTACATAAAATACAAAACTCAGGAGAGGAAGAAGGGGGTAAAACAGTCAAGATATAATATATGGGAGAATTAAAAAAAAAATTAAAAATAGCCAGGCAGTAGTAGTGTACACTTTTAATCCCAGCTCTCAGGAGGCAGAGCCAGGTGGATCTCTGAGTTTGAGGTCAGCCTGGTCTACAGAGCAAGTTCCAGGACAGCCAGGGCTACACAGAGAAACCCTGTATCAAAAACCAAAAACTAAATAACCTCAAGAAATTGCCCAAGGCAAAAACTGAACAAGCAGTAGAATAAAGGTGTAAAAAGGCAGGACAGGCAACACAGGCACTGTTGTGTCCTGCTGCTATAAAACATGAATTAGGCACAGTGGCTCACCAGTATAAACCCTGCACTCAGAAGGCAGAGACATGAGGATTATCACAAGTTCAAAATCAGCTTGGCCTACCTAATGAGTTCCAGGTCAGCCTGGGCTATATATAATGAGATCCTGTCTCAAAAAACAAGGACAACAAAACAAACAAACAAAAAAACAAAACCACCAAAACAGGATGTAATGCTCACAACTAGATAGACATGATTGGGGTGAGCTGATGGGTAGAATTACAAGTAGGACAATGTGTGGTCTGTAGGAAACATACTAACTCAATAAAAAGAGAGGGAAGGACTGGGTTGGAAACTTACTTTTAAATGAGAAAGTGTTAGTGCTCCCAAATTCATGACTTTCAAATCAAACGTGATATACATTTTTAACCATCACAAAAGAGTCCTAGGTGTAATTAGACACAAAACTGCTTGGAGAAAAGATCCAAGTGTTGTAAAAGGCATGATTACTATAAAACCTAGTTCTATCAGTATGACAAATTACTAGTTTGACAGATTTGGTTTGTTTGGTTTTGATTTTTCTCTTTTTGGGACAAGGTTTTTCTGTGTAGCCCTGGCCATTCTGGAAATTGTTTTGTATACCAGGCTGGCTACAAACTCACAGATAATCACCTGCCTCTGCATCCCAAGTGCTGGGATTAAAGGTGTGTCCCTCACCTCTCAGCATAACAGACCTTTTTGTTTGTTTTGGTTTCTTACACAGGGTTTCTCTGTGCAGCCTTGGCTGACCTGGACTCACTTTGTAGACCAGGTTGGCCTTGAATTCACAGAGATCCACCTGCCTCTGCCTCCCGAGTACTGGGATTACATGCTTGAGCCACCATGCCTGGCTGACAGATCATCTTTAATCACAACCACAGTCACCCATAATCTTGAGTTCACAGTCTATATTCATTTCAGACATCATGGGAACCCATCAAAGAGAATACTGACCTCAGCATAACATGCAAATTCTACAGTCTGTGTTCCATACCTCTCCTCTTGAAGAGTCCTTACTAGGGGACGAAGATGATGAGTGAGGTGCAGCCACCAAAGAAGTAGCACCAGTGGCTGCAGCTGAAGGGAGTTCTTCATTCCCTGGACGTCGGTTCCAGCTTGGGTCACTCATGGGTCGCCGCACAGAAGATACTATATCAGAACTCCTGCTGCGAACCAGTCTCTCAGGGTAAGAGTGCCTTTGCTTGAAAGCCTCCATTTCAGCTGCAGTTAAAATGTGAGAACCAAAGTTGGGCAACCTGGCCTCATTTCCTCCCACTGCACCTTCCAGAATTGGGGGATCCGGTGGTGGATGTGAGGGCCGGGCGTAGTGAACCTTCGGCCTTACTACAGCAGAGGCTCCTGTAACACAGAAAACAAGCTCTGCAGACAGAACAGAACCAACCAACAAAGGCAGCAGCCAAAGGCTTGCGTATCTTGCTTCTGCTCATGAAAAGAGTGCAAGAGTTAGCTCATTGCACAAACTTACCTTCATGTGAAGACAGTGGGTCAAACATGGCAAGCAGAGACTCTGACTGAGAGGGAGGAGAGGTCAGCTGGTGGGCGCCTACAAGAAGACGACACACCATGAAATCAGCCACACGTAAACAGCACTCCCCTGTTGAAGAAGGTGCTGGGACTCTTCCACAGTTTTCCTCTCTTAATCAATTAGAACTTGAGTAGCATACCAGAAATAAATGAAACTAATAATCAAATCTGGTTACCCCGCATTTTACTCCTCATGGAAGGACCTTTCCTACATTTGGAGGGAACAGCATCCAAAGCTTATGACCTGATGGACAAATGCTATTACAGTTAGTGCGAAGAACACAACCATGAGACCTCACCCCGTATTTTTCATAATGGCACAGCCTGAGAGTCACCTCTCCCACCATAAAAACAAGCAATATTATCTAAAAAAGAGGTAATTAGAGAACTGTAAATTTTGAAAGTCTAATACTGCTTTCAGCAGATGACTTGATTTTAAAAAGAACCTGTGAGTGAAATGAATATATAATATCATGAAATTAACTCTAACTTTTAAATGTACTATTTTAGGCTACAGAGGCCCCACTCCCAAAAATATGCTCCTTGACACATCTTGACACAACTAGAAATATTAAAATAGGTAAGTATACAGAGACTAAAGCTTTCTCCATTCATGGATTTCTAGAAGCAGCTCTAACCGAACCAAATTTAGACTATAAGCATTTAAAGCCTTAAGTACACATTGATAAGTTATGGCTGAAGAGCTTTGCTAATTGATGAAATACCAGCAGTATATAATCATCACTGTTCTTGATTTGTGGATTTTTTTTAACAGTTCTTAGTTTTATTTTGCGTGTATCAGTGTTTTGCCTGCATGTCTATCTGTGCACCACATGCATGCAGTGCCAAAGAAGGCCAAAGGAGAACACTGGATCCTCTTGAGACGGAAGCTACAGACAGTTGTGCATTGCCATGTGGGGGCCTGTCTCCTCTGTAAGAGTAGTCAGTGCTCTTAACGCTCAGCCATTTCCCTAGCCCCACTTTATTTTGTTTTTTGGTGGGGATTTTTTGTTTTTTTTTTGTTTTTGAGACAAGGTTTCACTACGTAGACTTGGCTGACTTGGAACTCGCTATGTAGACCAGGAAAATCTCAAACTTAGAGACATTCCTCTGCCTTCAGCTGCTGAGTGCTGGTAAGATAAGGTAACTGTAACCAGGGAAGGCCATGTCATCTTAAAAAGCCATTCTCACTCTCACTACTTACCATGGGCTATGTCATCCATGTCTGGACTGGTTACAGAATCTTTACCCCCAAAATCAGAGCTGCACTCAGATCTCAGGTCTTCAATCTTATTGGGAATATCCTCTGATGTAGCACTTATCCCTTTGAAAAATACAGCAAAAGTATTTAAGTACATAAGTAGGCTGCAAAAACAAAGTAGCTACACAAAATTATATGAAGTTTGGAGAAATTCTCAATTTTTATATATTCTAGTTCTATACATGTGAGTTGCTGAGTACTGTGAATTTACCATACTGTTGTTCAAATGTACTTATCTTGCTTTATACAACATAATTAGAACTATGTATTATACCTAAATATTGTAGCAGAAGCTACCAACAATATCAAGAGTTGTAGAGGAATGGTTCATTGATTATTTCAACAGGCTGTAAAAGCCACATATTAAGTTCTAAAAGATTATAAAGACATAGGACTAATTTTGTTCCCTGGAGACTACTAAGTTCCTAAATAAAACATATCTCTTGGGTAGGGAGATGCAGCTCAGTGACAGAGCTTAACTAACATGCCCCAAAGTTCTGGGTTCAACAGCTGGTACCATACTATAAAACAACAACAAAACCCACTATCTCTTTGGTAACACTTTTCAAATAGGGACTAGAAGATGTCTTCAAATTTCTAGTCCTTGAAACAAGACAGACATACCGGACACAACACTGAGGCCTGGTGTGCTGGGGCGGGAACTGACCTCCCTGACATCCGTCTCATCAGACGTGCTGCCCAGTCCAGAACAGCTCTCCAGCTCTTGGAGGCGCTCCTCCTGCTTTAAGTCTGGAGCCTCTGAAGAGAAGACAGGAAGAGTCACCTAGTAATTCCGTGAACATGCAAAATTTCAGCTTTTGTGACTCACACATACAAGTTACAGACATATAAAGAGATTTCTAAGTTTAAGTTACTTAGCAAAGCTAGTTAGATTAGGGTTTAAAGAAGGCAAAGTTATGATTTCCTCCTGATACACAGTTTGTTATGAACAGATGACAACTATTTCTATACTACTCTTTTTAAACTTTATTTATTTATTTAATGTAGATGAGTGCTCTATCTGCAAGTACACCCGCCTGCCAGAAGAGGGCATCAGATCCCAGTATAGATGGTTGGGAGGCACCCTCTAGTTGCTAAGAATTGAACTCAGGACCCCTGGGAGAGCAGACAGTGTTCTTAACAGCTGAGCCATCTCTTTAGCCCAACTACTTTTTAAAGGAAAAAAGGGGGGGGGGCCTTTTTTGGTTAGCATATAAACTGAACAAGAATACAGAATGGCTTAGTACGGTATCAACTTTCTGATTTCAATGTTTTCAAAAGCATGCAAAATGGACATGATGGCAGGTACCTTTAATCTAGGCACTCAGTGGGCAGAGGCAGGTGGATCTCTGTGAGTTTGAGGCCAGACTGATCTACACTGGCAGTTCCAGAAACAGCAAGAAGAACATGGTGAGATCCTGTCTCAAACCATCCCCCCAAAAAGAAAGAAAAAATAATCTCTTTAGTTAATAATTTATCTACTGACTTTTGAGATAGGGGTCTCACTATACAGCATAAGCTGAAATTACAGGCATGTGCCACCAAATTGATTATCGTTTAAGAGACTGTAGAGATTGATGGCTCAGTGGTTAACAGTACTTGGTGCTTTTACAGAGAACCTGGGTTCAGTCCCTGGCACCCACATGGCAGCTCACAAATGGCTGTAACTCAGTCATGTAAAATGGGTCTGACAACCTCTTCTGGCTTCCGCAGGTACTACACACATGCTATGTACATATATTCAAGCACACAGATACTCGAAACATAAAGTGAAAATAATAAATTGGTGCTGGAGAGATGGCTCAGGTAAGGAACTGCTGGTGCTCCTCAGAAGATGTCTTCAGTTCCCAGCACTCACATCAGGTGGCTCACAGTTGCCTTTAACTCCAGGCTCTGGCCAACGAGACCCAATAACCTCTTCTGGAGCCTGTGGCACTTGCATTTATGTGTGCACATAACCACATACAGACACTATGTGAGTATGTGAACATGTAATTAAAAAAAACTTGTTTTAATCTCAAAAAGATTAATGAACAAACAAACTTTCAGATATCTCTTAAGAGGAACAAGTTATTTCCAAGGATAATTTTACATTTCATTGTGTGCACGAGTGAATGAGTCGTAAGTGAGCGTGTGTGTGCATGTATGTTTGTCTCCTTCTGAAGATTAGCCTCACTAAGCTATCTCACTGGGCTGGCCATCCAGGGACAAATGGAAGGATGCTGACTAGGAACTCAAATGTGCAGGGTCTGAGCTGGGTTGTTACTCTCATCCTGGGATAAATTAGTAAAACTGAACACATCGTACACACAAAACTCTGAAAAGCTTCAAATAATTACTTCAAATATAATTTAACACAGACTCTGAAGCACTTGCTATATTGTTGTTGTTATTATTGTTATTATTTTGGGTTTTTTGAAACAGGGTTCCTCTGTGTAGCCCTGACTGCCCAGAAACTCTGTAGATCAGGCTGGTCTTGAACTCAGAGATCCACCTGCCTCTGACCTCCAATTGCTGAAATTAAAGGCATGCATCACCACTGACCGATTATAATAAAAATAAAATATTATATAATATTATCTTATTATTGCCCAACAAATTTTTCCTTCGTGGACAGAAAATTATCTAAATTTCTACTTGAAAATTTTAACAATATGACTGTCTGATATTTGCATAGAGAGAGAGAGAGAGTGTGTGTGTGTGTTATCAGGTGCTGTGGTTAAATGCATGAAATTCTAGTACTTAATACACGGAGGCAGGAGAACTCCGAGTTCAAAGTCAGCCTGGGTCAGACCCTTTCTCAACAAATAAAACACAAAAACAAATAAAAATGTCATTTGGCACAATACACCTAATACAAATTTAAGACACCTTTCATGTTAAAGTTCTACACAAAGTAAAAAGCAAAAATGACGGCATACTAACCTGAGTCACTTGGCAATACCTCTACACTCCAAGCTTCACTTGTAGTCTCTGATATGGTAGAGCCAGTGCAAGGGTCAAGGAGAACTGACCCTGAGCCTGGGAGGCAGAGCAAACTGCCTAACACATTCTCTGCTGCTGCACCTGTACAACCAGTGGGAGCAAAGTGTTACAAAGAAAGCAAAGTAGCCAGAGCAGTGGAAAAGGGTCACACAGAATAGTAACACTAAGAAATTGGCTAAGGTAGGAACCATTTCATTTAAGCATGCTACTAACATCACAAAGTTCCCAGTTGGGCACACTGGCACAACCTTTTTTTTCATTCCTTTGCTTTACATATATGTGTGTGTGTGTGTGTGTGTGTGTGTGCGCGCGCGCGCGCACGCCTGAGGTTTGTGTGTGTGCCATGTCCATGTAGGATCCTGAGAAGATCAGAAGAGGTATCAAATGCTCTGGAACTAGAGTTACAGCTGTGAGTCACCACGTGGGTGCTGGAGACTAAACTCTGGTCCTCTTCTCTGCAAGAGCAGTATCTGCTGAGCCACCTCTCGCTTAACTCTGACTCTCCACAAGGAAAACACATCTTTAGGTTCATGTTGATTTGTTTTCAGTGAGGTTTTTCAGCAAATGTCCTTGATATCATTTTTAACTTTATAAGATTTTTAGTCCTAGGGGAACTATAAAAATCCAGAGAATTTAACCACAGAAAGTTATACTAGACAAACATGTTTTCTTCCAGCATATTAGCCACAAAATCAGACCAATAATATATATTTCTAAGAGACTAAACAGCTCCTTCATAGCATCCAGCCAACTGTAAATACTGCTTGTGGCCAATAACAATACTATTTTGCCATCTGGAAAAAAGTAATCCAAAACCAATTTAGAAATCTATATACACTACTAAAACACAAGTGGAAGGAACAAAACATTTTTTTTAAAGATTTATTAGTATTCTGTCTGCATGTATGACTATAAGCCAGAAGAGAGCACCAGATCTCATTATAGATGGTTATGAGCCACCATGTGGTTGCTGGGAATTGAACGCAGAACCTTTGGAAGAAAAGCCAGTGCTCTTAACCTCTGAGTCATCTCTCTATCCCAGAACAAAACATTATTGTATATATATGTTTAATAGACTCAAGATGAAAAATCATGGCTCAGCAGTTAAAACATGCTGCTTTTCCAGAGGACCTGGGCTCAATCCCCAAAAACTACGTGCATAGCAGCTCACAGATAGCTGTATCTCCGCTGCCAGAGTATCCAACACTCTCTGCTGGCCTCTGCAGCTACAACACACATGTGGTATACAGATAACCATGCCAGCCACTATCCATACACATTAAAAAAAAAAAGAAGAAAAAAAAAAAAAGAAAGAGAAAGAAAGAAAGAAAGAGAAAGAAAGAAAGAAAGAAAGAAAGAAAGAAAGAAAGAAAGAAAGAAATACTACCTATGGGAATTCTCTATTTCGTTTGAACCAATCTAATAAAGGAATAATTCTATTTCGGGTCATAAAAAAGCTTTAAGGATAGTTACAAGCAAAAGCTACCTTTTACAGAGATAATATTAAAAGAACTGCAAGTAAGGATCAGAACAGATGGCTCAGCAGTTAAGAGCATTTATTGCAGGTGCAGAGGACCCAGGTCCGATTCCCAGCATCAACATAGTGGCTCACAGCTGTCTGTAACTCCAATTCTAGGGGATCCAATGCCCTCTTTTGGTTTCTGTAGATACCAGGTACACATGAAATATAGACACTCATACACCTGAAACACAAATAAAACTTTAAAAGAAAAAAAAGAATTATCTGAAACTTGCTTGAGCATGACTGGGGAAAGGGAAAGAATGGGAAAACAAAACTGGCGTGTGTGTCTAACTTCTAAAGCTCAAGGCCAGGTACAATGAGCTCCTACTATTCTCTATTGTCTTTGGTTTATATCTTCCATAAAAAGAAAATGAAGATGGTAATTATAAGACTGTATGAAATCTTTCAGAACCCACAAACCAGTATTCTAAAAGGGTGATTTTGAATGTCCTAACATAATAAACTGATATTTAAAAAAAAAGAAAAAACTGGTTATTCTTTGGAAGAGAGTTAATTTTTCCAGAAATGAATTTATTTCATTATTTTCTATGATTGTGTGGATCTTGGGGATAGTTCTTAGACCATCACACATGCTAGGCTAGTACTCTACCAATAGCTACACCTCCAGCCCTCATTTTAAAGAACTTTAGGATTCTGTTAGTCCATATTTTATGGCTATGTTTGCAAGAATTTTCACTTTAAGGTAAGGTTTTTAGCCTCAAAAATATAATAAGCTTATCACACACTGAGAACATATACTATGCCCCAAAGATAAGACTCAAAAGAGTCGTCTGTCTTTCCTTTTCTGAGAAAGGGTTTCTCTGTATAGCCCTGGCTGTCTTGGAACTCACTCCGTAGACCAGGTTGGCCAAACTCACAAGGCCTCGGCGCCCTGAGTTAATCCCAGGAAGGCCTGGGATTAACCTGGCCTTCCTTTGTTTTTAAACTGTGTGTGCATGTGCATGGGCATACCATGGCACACATGGAGGTCAGAGGACAACTTAGGGAAGACAGTTCTCTCCTTCCCTATATGGACCCTAGCTAGCAAAGTCAGGTCATGAGACTTGGCTGCAAGTACCTTTCCCAGCTCAGCCATCTTACCAGTCCTTGTTTTTCTCCTTTTCAAAGGAGGTGGAAAGCGGAGGAGGTTAACGCAGAAGGTAACACATACCTATTCAGTTTAGTACTCAAATGTCTTGTTCCATATAGATACCAGCTTCTCAGGAAGTACTCAAAGCACTAACCCTCCATGAAGAACAAATGGATACAACAACTACACAGCTCTTCATTCCTACAGGCCTTGAATACCAGTTACCTGCAATCTCTTGCAAACGATCTTCATCAACATTTGGGTCAAAGTCACTTCCCAGGACATCCGTGCTCCAGGTCTCACTCACTGTCTCTGATATGTCCCTATCATCTGTTAGTCCCATCATGTCACGAATCTCAAACTTCCTCAGCTTATCATCAAGATTATCTTGTGTTGTAGCTATTAAAAACAAAATTAAGCACTTTAAATATGGTGGCACTGCTATAACTTTTTAGTTAAATTGACATAATTCTGTCTTTAAACTTCATTTTATCATTAATAAGCACATAGTTCCAGCCTGCTCTGAACTAATCAATTCACCCCAGTTAAGATTAACAGAGACCCACACACACTTAATCACTGCTGAAAGGAAATGTGCCCAGTCTAAAAGGGGAAAAATAATCCGGGAGGAAATTGAATAAAATGTTTTGGGGTGGCTTATTAGATATCATTATTGTGTTAATAATTAGATGATAAACCCATATGTAAACTGTGGGGGTGATCTTATTATGCACCGCTTGAAGATTGTCCTTGTAGTGGCTAGAAAGACCGCTTAGTGATTAGGAGCACTGGCTGCTCTTCCAAAAGATCCAGGTTCAAATCCCAACATCCACATGGCAGTTCACAACTGTCTGTAATTCTAGTTCCAGGGGATTTGACACTCTCAAACAGATATACAGAAAGGCAGAACACCAATGTAAATAAAATAATAATAAAAAACTAAAAAAAAAAAAAAATTGTCCTTTTATTATTCAAATACTGATTTCCATACCCAGAAAGTTGAGTACAGGCTGAACTTGGACTTTAGTATTGTGATTTTTTTTTCATTTTTTATAGTTTTTTTTTTAATTTTATTACTTTATTTTTAATTTACTTTTAAATTTATTACAATTTATTTACTTTGTAGCCCAGCTATAGCCCCCTCCCCTGTCCCCTCCCAATCCCATCCTCTCTCCCTCTTCTCTTCCCTAAGTCCACTCCTGATAGGGGAGGTCCTCCTCCCGCTTCCATCTTACCCTGGCCTATCAGGTCTCATTAGGACTGCCCACACTGTCTTCCTCTGTGGCCTGGTAAGGCCATTTCCCCCTCCTCAGGGGGAGGTGATCAGAGAGCCTACCACCGAGTTCATGTCAGAGACAGCCCCAGTACTGTGACTTTTAATAAGCATCACCTGCCTCCGTATTTTGTAAATACTGCTCTTCATCACCTTCTGACTGGTTGAATAAATAGCTGAACGGCCTATATCAAAGGCAAGGAAAACAGGCAGGACTTACAGAGAAATGGGCGCTCTCTAGGAAAGAATCTGAAGCAGAGCTGGTGGTACTGGTGGTGGTGGCACAAACACCTTTAATCCCAGCACTCAGGAGGCGGAGGCAGGCAGAGCTCTGTGAGTTTGGGGCCAGCCTGGTCTACAGAGTGAGTTCCAGGACAGCCAGGATTACACAAAGAAACCCTGTCTCACAAAAAACAAAAGAAAAAAAGAATCTGAGGCAGAAGGATTTGCCTATGAAACCTGGAGGAAGTAAGACGTACGAAACTGAGGAAAGGTAACAAGCCACGTGGCAGAACATAGATTAATATAAATGGGTTAATATAGGTTATAAAAGCTGGTTGGGAACAAGGATATAAAAGCTATTATAAATAAATATACAATTCCATGTCATTATACAGAGCTGGGAAAGGCATAGAAAATCCTTATGGTTTTATGTAAAACTATTTCACTTGGCAATATCTCAAGTGTGTATTCTAGAATTTTTATTCTTTCCTAAGCCAATATTCTACAACTTGCTTTGTGTATATGATGTGTACATGTACCCCAAAGCCAGAAGGTCCTGCTTTCCACCTTCCACTGAACTGAAAGCTCACCATTTCAGCCAAGGAAGCTCACAGGATCCTCCTGTCCCTGTGGCCCAATGCTGACGTTATAGGCACACATGGCCAGGCCTGGCTTTTACATAGCACGTGCTCTTAACCAATGAGCCATCTACCCAGCCCCACAACTCATTCTTGTCAATTCCCTTTTTGTAAAATTTGAATTGGTTTTTAGTGTTGGTATTTTTTGTTTTAAGACAAGGCCTCAAAATGTCATGAATTTATGATCTTCCCACCTCACCCTCTTAACAATGCGATTACATGCATAGATCACCACATCTAGCTCTCAATTCACTTTCTTACTTCCTTTTTTTTTTTAAAGTAGGGTCTCTCTATGAAGTCCACATTAGCTCAAACTCGTTCTCCTTCCTAAGTGCTAGGATTAATGGCATGCACGACCATGCCCTGGCTTCAACTCACCTTCTTTCTAGATTTATTTTATTATATGTACATGAATGTTTTACCTGCGTGTATATGTATGTATAACACTTACATGCCTGATGCCTGCAGCACCCATATAAGCTGCCATGTGGACACTGGGAATTGAACCAGGGTACTGTGCACGAGCAGTAAATCCTATCAATAATGCTGTGTAACAGTTTTCTCTGAGATTGAAACATTCTATCCTGCAGGAAAGCTCTTTAAGCAGAGGTAACTCAAAATAGCTTTAGGAAGTTCCTGAAACTGACCGGATTCACTAGGTAACCCCATGCCAGAATAAATAATAAAAACAGTTACTCCCAGTTGAATGTAGTCAAGAAAAGCCACCCTCCAAAGAAGAATCTGAGACCAGACCAGCTGCATGAAAGAAGGTGAAAGCAGCTGAGCTGCTTAAAAAGAGCTTCACTTGGAAAGGACACTCTTCAACTTGTCAAGCTGCCTACATACTTGAACTCCAGGCTCCCAGCTTTTGTGAGCTGTCACCCATGCTAGAGTGGGCTTTATGTAGTTGTCTTTGAGTAATTTCTGTTCCTGTAAGTAACCCCAATAAAAGTCATGTTTACCATGTTGGACTTTGGTCTTTCCTGGACTCGAGAAGTGGGGTAAGTAGCCATATGTGTAGTGTCTCCCCAGGAAAAGTTTTGTTACAAAACAAATGACTGCGCCAGCTCTCCAGCCCAATTCACTTCTTAGCGTTTCATATACAAAGGGTGTCAACTCTTACACTGAATCACCCAGAAGGCCCATTGAAGATGTGATTTTCATTCATCCTTGCCTGTATGCTAATTTTCGGTTTCTCAGTTATGCACAATATATTTATTTCTGTTTGTTTGTTTTGTTTTTTGTTTTTCGAGACAGGGTTTCTCTGTGTAGCCTTGGCTGTCCTGGACTTGCTTAATAATATACCACACTGGCCTCGAACTCACAAAGATCCACCTGCCCCTGTCTCCCTGAGTGCTGGAATTAAAGGGTGTGGGCCACCACACCTATAAATTTAATATTAATCGATACATTGAAAGATGGAAACAATATGGCAAGACTTCTATATAAGCCATACATTCCAATGGCTTCTCCTTTTCAAAAACATATTTCTAAGGTGGCTTGGAAAATAATCTCCCTAAGTAATTTTTTAATCTCCCTAAGTAATTTTCATATACACTAAAGTCTAAGAATCCAACTTAGTTGCGGATGTGTGCTCTACCTAGAATTTCTCTTTGTTAGGGTTTATTTGTGGTGCTCATGTGTGTGTAGGCAAGAGTTCAGAGAGGTCCAAGGATCTGCCTGTCTCTGCCTCCTCACCATTCCATCCTTCCATTCCTCACACCCCATCAGCCAGCTAAGGTTACAGGCGTGCACATTCCCAGCTTTTTATGTAGATGTCCCCGACATCTCAGATGTCCAAACTTGGACCTTCATGTTTCTATGTAGACAGTTAACCCACTGAGCCATCTTCCTAGCAACTTTTCTTCCTTTCTGTTTATGTCAGTTTGTATCCGTGCCATAGTGCACATGTGGAGCTCAGAGGACTAAGTGAATTCCAAGGATCAAACTCAGATCATCAGACTTGGGGGCTTTTAACCATCTGCATACTATTCTTTCCCTAAACTAAGTTCCATGAGCCCTTAATAGTTACCATTGTACCCCATAAATATTACAGAATTAAGGAGAGCAAATATTACAGAATTTAAGGTAATGCATACTGCTGTATGTAACTTAAGCCCAAATAATTCACTAACTAAACACCTTTTAAAAACTAAAGGAGCTATGAATAAATACAACTGTAATGGTCATTAATCAACTTAAGTTATTTTCTCAAACAAACATTACCTCTCTTGAAATCATGTACATTTTTTTCTGCTTGTACAACTGTATTCACCACCACTTTACCTTGCTCATGTTCTAACAGCTGTAGTGCTTCAACTCCATTACTCCCAGAAGGTCCTGCCCCAAGTTCAGATACAGACTCTCCTTCCAGGTCGAGAGAAGACACTGAATTGGAGCGATTAGAAGGACCTAGAGAAATGTTTATCCTGTCAGCAATTTTCTTAAAGTATTCATAAGTCACCATGTAACATTTCTTGCCATGAAAATAGACTAAAAATTAGTTATAGTTTTTGTTCTGTTCTGTTTTGAAACAAGGTATCACTACAAAGGCCAGACTAGTCTTACGCTTTCATATCTTCTACTTCTGCACCCTGCAATTATTGATGTGCCATGATGCCAGATTTAAGATGCTTTTAATATTGTATTTATTTCCTTAAGAATACAGATGCCTTTGAGCCAACAGCTCTGCTTTTAGATATTTATCTTTAAAAAACTAATAGGAAAAATAAATCAAAGGTTGCTTGTTGAAGAAATGTAATACTTAAAAGGTAAAGGTACTTTCTGTGCTTGCACACAGAAAGATGCCTAGACATGCAGAACAATGCCAGCAAGTTCATGAACCTGTATTTCCCGTGGAAATTCCACCAACTATGGCATCATTATTGCCAGGGCCACACGTCCATTCAGAGGGATGCTGCTGAGGTCGACAAAACCACATGCAGGTTTAAAGGCCAGTTTAAAACCTGTGCCATCTGTGAGCCATTTATACAATGAGTAATTCAAATGATTCTTTTTGTGTTTTTTGTTTGTTTGATTTTGGTTTTTGTTTTGTTGTTGTTTTTTCAAGACAGAGTTTCTCTGTGTAGCCCTGGCTGTCCTGGAACTCACTCTGTAGACCAGCCTGGCCTCTGACTCAGAGATCCACCTGCCTCTGCCTCACAGGCGCTGAGATTAAAGGTGCACACCACCACCTCTGGGGGAGTCAGGTGATTCTATTCTCCAACTGGCTAAGGCACTCTTGACCAGAAAACATTAGGGAATATTTGTCATAAATAAAAGTGAGAAAGTAAGTAAATAAAATAAAAAGCAAAAGTATTCTACCTATCTATACAGAGAGAATGCTAAAATAAATTGAAAGGCATATCTGATGCTAAAATTCCCTTTAAAGCATGTTATTGCCATGCCTTTACTCCCAGCACTTGGTAGAAAGAGGTAGGAGAATCTGTAAGTACAAGTCCAGTCTGGTCTACATAGTAAATTCTGTGCCAGCAAAGGCTGCACAGTGACACCTTGTCTCAAAAATAAATAAAGAAAAAAAAAAAAACATAAAAATAAAAGCATGTTATTTAAAAACACAAATCCCAAAAGGAATGTTAAAAGGTTACAAAACACCATAAACTTAGTTTTGCTATAATTGATCCAAATATTAACTGTTAAAAGTATAGTAAAATTACAGGTGAGTTTATTTCTTTTCCACCTTTTCTAGAGTGAATATATCCTACTCAGTAATTTTCTGAAAGTTTTTTTATCTTCTTTTAAATGTTAGCAAACCTGAACTTTTTTCCTAAAACAAAATGACCTAATATACGGAATGACAAACTCTTACTTCACAATCTGGATTAAAAGTTTCCTTTTTTATTTTTCCTGCCATTACTGAAGGTTAAATCTAAGGGTGTAGGGCAAACACTCTACCAACTGAGCTGTATCTCAGCCTCAAATGCCTATTATTCCAGGGTGTCCTGATTTATAAGGGCGTGTGTGACTGTGTGGATAAAGGAACAGAGAACAGCAAAAAGTATGCACAACATTCTAAAAATAAGTAAGTCCATTCTCCCCACTTGTACATGCATTATATCCTTCTAAAGGAGCTCTATAAGCTTGATATCCAGACTGATAAACACAACTTGCTGTTACTCAAATTTAACACTGAATGAAGACATATCTTCTCATTTTACATGACCAACAGCCTCTTGTGATCTTAATTTTATTCAAGAAACAGTATTACAGCCATGTTAAAGCTCATTAAAGGAAATTTCATCATTCTCCTTAAGAAGAGGCAGGAGTGGCTTAACTAATTTATAAGGCTCCTTTAAAGAACACAAAACAACTTCAATCACATACTCCCTGAATGAAGCAACCCTTCACCTTCAGATATGCCTTCCAGATTATCACTGCAGAGGGAAAAGCGCAAGGTTTTATCAGGTTTACCGTGGAGTTTGTTTTCATCAACAGGGACATCTCCTTGTCCTCCATCCGAAAGCTGCATGTTTAGAACCTGAAAAAACAAAACAAAAAATATTGGCCCATCACAAATGAAAGACTACTGAGAATAAAATAAACAAGTGCGCATTTAAGTTCTTCTTGGTTATTTGAACTAAAAACCCACTTGCAAGGTCTCTCAAGCTTTCAAATGGAATCAAAACAAAGTCTATGCTCGAAGCCAACTCAAGCTATGTCTTTCCATCCTCCTCCCAGGGTCAGCAGCAGCTAGTCACACAGGGTGGCAGGAGGCCGGGCACAGCCATCAGAAGACTGGTGTTTTTATTATGTCAGTAGAGCTGCTCAAGTCTGTTTTCCCAGCTTGAGTTTAGTGTTCAGCTACGAATGTACCACCAAATGAAAATAAGCAAAACATTTCCTACAAATCATTAGAGAAATCTTACCAACTTCTATTCCACGGTGTCAATACCTATCTTCTATTGCTACTAGAACAATTTCCTTTTTTTTTTTGGATATGGTCACCCACCTCAGTGTCCTGTAAGTACTAAAGCATTAACTGTTCACAGGAGCTTAGTATTTGATGGCTTTTCCCATATACTTATGGAAAATAATACATTGTGGGACTGGAAATACAACTCAGTGGCCGAGTGTTTGCCAATTGTATGAAAATCTGGATTCAATCTCCATCACCAATGTATCAGGCATGTGAACCCTTAGCACTCAGGTGGACACAGAAGGATCAGAAGCTCATGGTCACATATATATTGGAGATGTTGCACACACACACATACATTTTAGTCCAGCCTGGGAGCCTGGGATACATAAGACCCTATCAGTAAGAAGGGAATGGGATGGAGGAGAGGAGGGAAGAATTTTTTAAAAGGAAAGGAGGGAAAGAAAAAAAGAACTGGTATAACCTGACCATTTGAAGTCTGTTAAAGGTTCATGTAGTGAAATCCTAACCATCAAATGATAACATTTGGACACGGAGCATTAGCTGGTGTGACTGGTGTGAGGGCAAAGCCTTCACAGATGTGTCCTTCTAAAATCAGTCCATGCACCTTTTCCACCACTTGAGAGCAGACCCTAACAAGACACCAAGTATGCCTTCATCTTGGACTGCTCAGCCCCCAGAACAACCAGAAATAAATTTGTTACTTATAAACTACTAACTTTTTTTTAGATTATTATAATCCTCTCTGTGAAGTGGCATATACCTACAAGCCCTGCACTTGAGAGTTGGAGGTAGAAGACCAGAATTCAAGGCCAGCCACGGCTACATGAGACTCAGTATCAAAACATAAAATAAAGCAAAGCAACATAAATAAGCAAACAAACAAAACTCCACAAAATAAAATATTTAAACCTCTAGATTTTGTCATACTCGCCTTAACGGACTGAGCTGTGAGTACTGATTAGAAGCAGGTGGTTTCTAGCTGGGGAGCTAATTAGAATCTCTGTTTCCTCTCTTCTGTAGAAACAGGGCCATACTGTGGAGGCCAAGTTGGCCTAGAACCAGCTATGCAGCCACGTTCCTCTTGCCCCAGCCTCCCACAGGCTGAGGTTACAGGTATTAACTACCATGCTGGACTTAAAATTCTTAACGCTGATAGGTACAAGTTAAATGTAGCAATCCAAGCCAAGACGTGGTGATATCAGCAAGCCTTTAATCCCAGCAGCACTCAAGAGACAGAGGAAGGCAAATCTCTGTGAGTTCAAAGCCAGCTTGGTCTACATAGTGAGCTCTAGAACAGCCAGGGCTTTGTAGTGAGACCTTGTCTCAAAATAAAAATATAAAAATTTAAAATGTAGTATTACATGCATACCTCGTTTTCTGACATCATCCCTGGAGTAAGCTGGGGACCTGTCCCTAATGAAATGACCAGCACCTCTTCTGGCTGTACCTCCTGGATGGTTTCTTGAGATGATCCTTCATGGTCCATATGTAGGTCCATTAATATATTAGTTCGGCTTCTGCTCCGAGTTGCTAACAAATAAAATAAGAGAAAAAGTCAAAATGAAGAAAACAGTACACTAAATACAAAAATGTATGTTCTGTTAATGTTGAACGTTTGTGCATGCATGAAGGATGATGGTGAAAACACAGACAGAAAAACAATCAGGACAAAGCCAACACTAGGTCCTCCTAGCTACTCTCCTGATGATGAATACAGATTCTCCTTCAAAACTGCTCATTAGAAAGAAGCCTGAGTTGTCTCAGCAGTTAAGCACAATGGCTGCTCTTGCTGAGGGCCTGGATTCAATTCCCAGCACCAACATACTAGCTTACTTTAATTCCAGTCCCTGGGAGTCTGACATCCCCTTCTGGCCTCCACAGGCACCAGACATGCACTTGATGCTCAGACATACATGCAGACAAAGCACTCAAACACATATAACCAAAAAAAATTTCTTTAAACAACTGATCATCAGAAATAATGCATAATGCTCTATCTCCACTGGACAGGAAGGCCACAACTGATCACAGCTGTGGTGCAGGAAACATGTCCTAGCCAATCAGGATTTCAGGAACAACAAAGCACCACCTTGTTTCTCAAGGGTTTTTATTTTTGTTTCTTTGTTTAGCTATTTGGTTTTTGGTGTTCTGAGAGGGTTTCTCTATGTATCCTTGACTGTCCTAGATTCGTCTATAGACCAGACTAGCCTCGAACTCACAGAGAGCCACCTGCCTCTGTCTCCCAAGTGCTGGGATTACAGGTGTGCACCAGCAAGCCCTACTTATTTCTCAAGTTTTTAAGACATTTAAATTATTTTTCTTATAAAAATTTTAACTTCCAGCAATCCTGGCAATCAACACAGAAACATGTTTGTCTTCTTTTTGTAAGATAGGGTTGAGCTATGTAGTACAGAGAAGCCTGGGACCTGGGACCCACTGTCCTGCTCCCACCTTTTGCATTCTAAAATGACAGGCAGCCACCATCACACCAAGCAAAGTAATTATACAATTACTGGTAAAACCAGAGTCAACTTCTGAAAGCACATTTCTTCCTTCTGAAATATATCAACCCTTTCCAGAGACACAGGAAATATTGCTTTATGTTACAGTGGGGTTCTTTCTACATTCAGACTGACAAGAAGTCTCAGTAGTAAAGGCACTTGCTGCCAAGCCTGGTGACCTGAGTTCATTTCCCAGAGTCCACTGGGCAAAAAACGAAAACTCTGCTAAGTAGAAATTCTCTAATGGTATAAAAGTGAAGACATAAAACAAAACACCCACAAGTGAAAGGCTGAGAAAAGCTGACCTCGTCGAGACAGACAGAGGCAGAGATATAAACAACACTCTTCATTTCACAAAGCTGTATGTCATTATCACTTTCACTCTGAAAAGTCACATCCCAGGTTTTCCAAAAGCCTTAGACAGGCTGAGTACTTCTTATGCTTCTCTTTCCTATCATCTACTGAATTGTGAACTCACAATCAATCTCATTAGCAACTCTATGACCTTAGCAAACTTGAAAATTGTAACTTAAATAAATGCAAGTGATCAAATTTCATGTAACAAAAACTTGCAAAAAGCAAAGGCAGCATGCACACAGAGCACACCTGTGAATGTTTCTAAAGCAGTTATGGAAGAGAAGGAGAATGGCCTATTACCCACCAAAAGGGGTTACTAGAGGAATATGAGCAGTAAGATTGGTGGCTGAGGAATCCCAGGCAGTGATGGCTGCTAATTGTTGTCCTGGGTTGCAAAAACATTAAATAGAAAGAAATTTTGGACATTGGAAACACTGTATATAAAACATGAAATTAAATGCAATGACAAGGTCACATGACCATACAAAACACTGGGCAAACATTTGAAATTTTCTTCCCACTAAACCCACCTCTAATAATGTATTCAAGTGACAGAAAATTTAAAAAACCTAATATACAACAGTGAAAGAAGGGCAGCGATCTCTCTACCAAAAATAGTGGTTTATCATGTTATCAAAGTACAAATAGTCCACAATATTAAAAATCACTAAACATAAAGCATCACTTTTTTTAAATATTTACTTACTTACTATGTATACAATGGTCTGTCTGCATGTACATCTGCACACCAGAAGAGGGCACCAGATCTCATTATAGATGGTTGTGAGCCACCATGTGGTTGCTGGGAATTGTACTCAAGACCTCTGGAAGATAATGTCTGAGCCATCTCTCAAGTCCCAAGCATCATTTTTTTAATCAAAAGAGAATTTTGTTGTTTTTTCGGGGTTTTGTTTTGTTTTTCTTTTTGAGATAGGGTCTCACTATGTAGCTCTGCCTGCCTCTGCCTCCTGAGTGCTGAGATCAAAGGCACATATCACCACACTTGGCTAAGAAATTTATTATTTTATTTCCTTTATTTGTTCATGTTTGTTTTTATTGCTGATTGGTTGGTTTTTCAAAATATGGTTTCTCTGTGTGGCCCTGACTGTCCAGGAACTTGCTCTGTAGACCAAGCTGGCCCCAAACTCAAGAGATCCACCTGCCTCTGCCTGCGGAGTACTGGGATCCACTGTCCAGTCCCAGTTTTAATTATAAATCTGACATTTTGGGATACTGAAGAAAGCTAAAGACTTGATACAATATTCCTATTGCTATAAACCCATATTATGTTAAGTGGAATTCATGATTTTAAGAAACTGTGTTTGTAAAAAATAAAAATAAAAAAAATCAGTTAACTGAAGCTAAAATGAACTCCTTTTCTTTAAAATGTGTTAAATTAAGCTGGGGTTTGGCTCAGTGGCAGAGTACTTGCCTGGCATGTGCAAATCCCTGTATTCAATCCATAAAGATTAAACCCATAAAGATAAAATGCTTACCTACATTCACTAGGTCTTGCTGAGTATGTCATCATTAAACAGATAACGGAATACTCCTACTCCCCTGAACATAATATTCTTTGCTTCTTTGGTCTAACTCCCGTCCATTCCTTAAGAAAAAGTGCAGACTTCACTTTCTATACCTGGCTGAGTCATGATCCCATGACCCACAGGCTTCTTTCCATTGGAACACTTAATACTAGGAAGAGCACTGATCTCATTTTCCCTAAATGCCTAGGAGCAACTAACCTGAGAATACCAGGGTTACTATGAATGGTATTTTTATCTCCAGCATCTAATAGAGCGCTTCAAGTACAGAACAGTGCCATACTGTGAGTGGAGGTTTGTGTGGATTAAAGGAAACATTTGTAAAGGTTTACTTAGTACCTGCTACAGAATATACGATAAATTTTTGTGTGCATGTAGATGGGTGACAAATATTGAGTAAAGCCCATTTAAATATAATTATTTCTTTAAAAAAAGCAGGGTGTAGGGCTGAAGAGATGGTTCCGAGGTTAAAAGTATTGTCTGCTCTTCCACAGGTCCTGAGGTCAACTCCCAGCAACCACATGGTGGTTTACAACTATCTAGAATGGGATCTGATGCCCTCTTCTGTCATACAGGTGTACATGCAGATAGGGTACTTATATACACAAAATAAGTCAATAAATCTTTAAAAAACTAAACAAAACAAACAAACAAAAAAAAAAAAACAAAAAAAAAAAAAACAAAGCAGGATCTACTATAACCCAAGCTGGCTAAGAACTATCAGACGTTAAACTCTGATCATCCCACCTCCACCTTCTGGATGCTGTATTACAGACATTCGCCATCACACTTGGTCTGTGCAGTGCTGTGGGTTGAACCCAAGGCTTGAATTCTAGGCAAATACTCTTCTTATTGACCACACCTCCAACTCTGAGAAAATAATATTTAAAGAAAAGCTCCAATAAGGAAAGTTCCCATTACCTATAGGTAACCGATTCTTTTTGTTGGCTGGAGTGGTGGCTGGAGACATCTGAGGAGTGCTGTAGGGAGTCATGTCTAAGCTGCTGCTCTTTCCCGGCTTAGCCTGGGGCAGGTTCGCCAACAAATTGTCAAGAGCCATTCTATCTTCTTTCAGTTGATCTCCAGACATCACACTCTTCATAAAATTCACCTGGTAAAATGAAAGAACATTATCTGGTAAAATGAATTTTTCAAAAATAATATAGACTTATAAAAGGATATATTTATCTGTGACCTGCCAGCACATGGCTAGAAGAATGAAGTCAAGAAACTTCAATTAAAGAATGATGCCATTACCAGAGTAATAAGCTGACTGTAACTTATGTAAACCACAGTTCTGCTCAAGCCTTCCAGAAGATTAACAGAGGACATTGGCGGAGTCTCCACTGCACGGCCCCCAATTACAACATCAAGGAAAGCAGCTACACAGCCCTGTTAAAACAGGAAGAGACCAAAGTAAAATTCTTCCTTCAAAAGAGTGGAAAATTTTCTCACCAAGGTGAATAAGCGTGAAAAAAAAATTTAACTTCACCAAAAGTATTTTAAACCCAACATTTTCAAAACTACAACTCTTTATACAGTCATGGAGAATACACTCAAGAAAAAAAACACACTCTGCAACCTACAATTCTGAGAAGGCAGGAAAGGGTGTGGAGCAGGGAACCTACTAGGAGTCTGTGCATACTTACAGACCTCTACAAGAATGCACAAAAGACTGAGAACATCAACAGCTTTGAAGAGGAAATGGAAGTGACAGATGAGAGGTGAGGAAGAAATGACACAGAACAACAAATTTTTATTTTACTGAGTTTTCCTTTACATTTTCTAATGAATTTATCTGTGTGTGGTGTGGGGGTGGATGAGTCAGTGTTCATGATGAACACCTGTGAAGACAGCCTGAGGCGGTCAGTTCTCCCCTCCACCACGTAGATTCTAAGGATCATAGTTTCAATCAGGTTTGATGCCAAGCACCTTTATCTACTAAGCCATCTGCTGGTCTGTGTCTTATTGCTTAGAGTTTTTGTTGTTGTTGTTGTTGTTTGAAACAAAATCCTACTCTTTGGCTTTGGCTGGCCTGACACTCACCATAGTGTCTAAGTTGGCATCAAACCTGAGTGATTTTCCTGCCTCTACTCCTTAGGTGCTGTGATTACAGTATATACTACTATACTCAGCACAGTATTTGAGGTTCTTACTGTTTTTATTCATTTGTTTTTAAGATTTAATTTTTGTTTACATACATATGTATTCACACATACATGAACTCAAGTGTACTGGTGACTGCAAAGGTAAGATAAGGGTGCAAGATCCCCTGAGGGCTGAAGGTACAGGTGGTTGTAGCCATACAAGGTAGGTGCTGAGAGCTAAACTCCTGTCCTCTGAAAGCACAGTAAGCATTCTTCACTTCTGAGCCAGTTCTCCAGTTCCAACATTTGACGGTTGATTGGTTTGTTTATTTGTTTGTTTGTTTTTAAACAGGGTTTCTCTGTCCTGGACTCACTTTGTAGACCAGGCTGTCCTCAAACTCACATGGGATTAAAGGCCTGTGCCAACATCTGAATTTTAAACCAAATTTAATTAATAGCCTACGCAAAATCTAATTAAATCTTTACTCAACTAACTGAACAATGTCATGAATAAAGAACATTTAAAATTATTTAATTAGGGCTGGAGAGATGGCTCAGAGGTTAAGAACACTGGTTGCTCTTCCAGAGGTCCTGAGTTCAATTCCCAGCAACTACATGGCGGCTCACAACCATCTGTAATGAAATCTGGTGCCCTTTTCTGGCGTGCAGGCACACATGCAGGCAGAACACTGTATACGTAAAAAATACATAAATCTTTAAAAAAAAATTAACTATTGCTGATTGTTATATTAGTAATAAATTCAGTTAAAACAAACTTTTTAAAAAATAATCTAACAGGTCTTGATTCTCACTACAATGACACCCTTCAATATATATGACAGTTTAATTATAATCATTAGAGAAATCTTCTGAAATTTAACTGTTGCTGATACGATATTGTTAACTAATTTAAAAACAAATTAATGACTGAACAACTTAACTTTCTTATCACTTAAAGACAACATTTAATTAAAAAACTAAGTTCACTAATACTCTGCCAGAACTTTTATTTTGTATTGTTGTAGTTCATGCTGTTTGCTTTCTAATAGTCCTGGATGGCCTGAAACTTCTGAGTGCGCCAGGCTGGACCTGGAAATTACAGTGAGTACAGGGATTAAAGTTGTTCACCAAGTAAAGCTGTGTTGTTTGTTTATGATAAGAAGACTCGCTGAGGTCTAGGCTAACCTTGAACTCGAGGTAATCCTCCTGCCTCAATTGAGATTACAGGTGTGGGCTAGCACACTTGGACATCTTACAGTCTATAAACAGTATTTCACATGACACAACATTCATTCCTACTTTGTCAAATTTTCCAAGGCTATTTTTGGTCCGGGGATCTCCCTCTTCAGTGCCAGTCATGGCTAACTGCTGCAAAAGGCGGCCAACCTGTAAACAAAAGCAATGATAAGCATATGTAGACTGCACACACCGACACTGGTCTGAGGAAGCACTTCCATTCTAATCTAAGTATCTGGGTTCATCTGATCAGGCAAACAAAATAACGTTTCCAATAAAATGTGCATCTTGTCTATGTCAGCTTTTACTATTTTCAGATTAAGAGTTAGAGGAAGTAGAAAATTTTGCTGTAATTTCTCGTTAAAACATGACAATAGCATTAGGAAACTGAAAGAACAATATATTTATTTCTGGTACCGTACTTTCTGTGTGCTCAAAAATATTTTAAACTTTATAATTACCACATGTGTGTGCATGACTGGGGGAACATGCATGCCAGGGTGTACATTCGGCAGTGAGAAGACAACTTTTGAGATTTGGCTCTCTCCCTTTATCACAGGTTTCAGAGATGAAATTCAAGTTGTCAACCTTACATAGCATTTTTTTATGCCCTGAACTACATTGTAAAATAATAATCTTCAAACACTAACTCACAAAATAAATGACTTCAAGTATAACACAAAGTACTCATCCCCTTACAAATCACAAAAAACTCAGGGTAAAGCATTCTCTTTATAGTTTTCTGTTGTTTTTTGAGACAGGGTCTGTGCAGTCCTGGCTGGCCTGGAACTCACTATGTAGACCAGGCTGGCCTCCAACTCACAGAGGTCTGCCTGCCTCTGCCTCCTGAACGCTGGGATTAAAGGTGTGTGCCACCATTGCCCAGCTGATGATTTGTCTTATCAGGTTGTTTGTTTTTTGTTTTTTGTTTTTTTACTTATTTTATGTGCTTTGTTTTGCCTACATGTATGTCTGTGTCTGTGTGAGGGTATCAGATAATGGAGTTACAGGCAGTTGTGAGCTGCCATGTGGATGCTGGGAATTGAACCTGGGTCCTCTGAAAGAGCAGTCAGTGCTCCTAACTGCTGAGACATCTCTCCAGACCAGCTTATCAGTTTTTAAAAAATTTGAAAGACAGCCTATTTTAAATTAACCCAATTTCTTCTTCATAGTATTTCAGAAGAATAAAATATGATTAAAAGACTTGAGGACTGTAGGGGCTCAGGAAATGACTCAGTGGTTAAGAGCACTAGGCATGTAAGCATGAGGACCTGAGTTCAAATCTCAGCACCTACTTAAAAGCTGGGCATGGTTGCATGTGCCTATAATTGCAGATTGAAAATTGAGATAACAGATACTATAAGCTTAATGGCCAACCAGTCTAACCAAAATGTTGAGTTTTCAGTTCAGTGAGAAACCTTGCCTCAAAAGAATAAAAGACAGCACAAAAGTGGAAGACACTCAGTGCCCTCTCCTGGCCTTCACATGGCACATGCTCCTACACAAAGACACAAATACTCACACCCACGCCTACCCACACCCACATACTCTCACTCTCTCTCTTCTTTAATTTAAAAAAACTTTAATGTTTTAAAAATTTATTTCATTTTAAGCATATGAATGCTACGCCTACATGTCTACATGCTTATGAACCATCTGCCACCTACTGCCTGTGGAGATTAGAAGAGGCCATCAGATACCCTGGACTTGGGGTTATAGATGGTTGTGAGCCAAGAAACAAAACAAAAACTTTTCTTTTTAATTTTTAAAAAAATACTGGGCTAGGGCTGGAGATATGGCTCAGGGGTTCCTGCCTGCTCTTCCAGAGGAGCGGGGTTTAATTCCCAGCACCCACATGGCAGTTTACAGCTCTCTGTAACTCCAGTTCCAAGCTCCCTCACACAGACACATGCAGGCAAAACACCAATGCAAATAAAATAAACATTAAAAAAAAAAAAAAAAAAAAAAGACTGGGCAGAGAGACTGGTGAGATGGCTCTGCAGTTAAGACCACTAATTCTTCCAGAAGACCTGGGTTCAATTACCAGCCCGTCTAGCAAGCTAACAGCTGTCTGTAACGCCTGTTCTGAGAATCCAGTGCTCTCTTCAGCAGACACTATACAGATACACACACAGGCAAAACACCAGCACACAAAATAAGTTAAATAAATAAATAAATACATAACAAGGTTTCAGGTAAAACATCCACACAAATTAAGTAATTGAAATAAATGATAAGACTTCAGGTAAAACACCCATACACATAGACTAATAAATAAGACTGCAGGTGTAACTTAACAGCAGAACATGTGCTGAGCACATGTGAGGCTCTGGGTTCCTTTATGGCATCCATGTGGAGGTCAGGGGAGGTCAGAAGTTCAGTAGTAGGCTCTCTTCTACTATCGTGGGTTCCAGGGCCTGAACTCAAGTTATCAGGTTCCTCAAGCAAGGCTTTTACCCAGTGAATCATCACCTTTGCCCTGAAATCAGATTTTTTTTAAAAGGGTAACTTAATATATGCATGTGTGTATATATGTGGTAACTTAATATATGCATGTGTGTATATATGTGTGTGAGTATGTAAAATCTTCACTGGGTGGTGTCTACTTTCAAAAACATGAATATTTCTGCAAAAAGGCCTAAGAGTTCAATAGCACTCCAAAAAATACTAAGTACTCCTGTTCAACTTCAGGGTTTAGTTTTGTTTTTTTTGGAGTTGTTTGTTTTATGAGCATTGGTGTTTTGTCTGCATGTATGTCTGTGTGAAGATGTTGGGTCCCCTGGTACTGGAGTTATAAACAGTTGTGAGCCACCATGCTGGGAACTGAAGCCAGGTTGTCTGGTAGAACAGCTAGTACTCTTAACCACTGAGCCATCCCTCCAGCCTACTCCAATACTGATTTGTTTTGTTTCTAGACAGGGAATCTCTGTATAACCCTGGCTGTCCTGGAGCTCACCCTGTACACCAGGCTGGCCTTGAACTCACAGACATCTACCTGCTTCTGCCTCCCAAGTGCTTATGTAAAAAGCATGCACCCCTACCACTTGACTTTCAGCCTAACTTTTAAAGTAGAAAGGACACTCTCAGTTTTTAATCAATCTGGACTCTGAAATTATAGAATAGGGATGACAGGCTTGTCCTAGAAACCTAGCCAACTCTATACCCAAGAGTTCAGGGATTTCACTTGAAAATATTTATGACTATAAAAATCTCAAAATCCTAATATAATTACTTTTGTTTCATGAGAAGCAAATATTTAGGACAATTTAAGAAAAGAAATGATAAAAATATGTGAACATCCAGGTGAGGGTGGAGCATGCCTTTAATATAAGCACCTCTCAAAAAAAAAAA